TTTGGTAAAGTTACTTTCCAAATTCCAAACTGAAGATCCTTAAATTGCGCAAATGACGTCTGTTGTTTTCTTTTGTATCTTTGGATTTCATTTTTTGTACTATTTACTATATCACCAGCTGATATATAGTAATCAGTAAAACCCTTTCTCTTCGATCAAATCAGTACTAACAGAACAAAGGAGAGAAAAAATGTACGAGCCACACCCAGGCTGACAATCCCTCTCGTATCATAGTCACTTTTACTTCGCAATATTTTTTCTTTATTCATAGAATTTATTTTCTAACTTATCAATCTCATTTATCAACTGAGTAATTAAATACTTTACTTAAATATTAATTATTTAACTTAGCAAAAATTTTAGTCACCTAGAAATATTATTTCCACTGAGCATTTAATAAATTCACTAAGCATCTAATTTTTCTACTGGGTGTCTATATATTTTACTCAGCAATAATCTACTTAGCATTTAAATAGGTGCCATTTCTAATTAATGATAATTTGATCGTTAGATTTCGATGAATTCAATGAATTTTTTTTTAATAAAAAATATGTAAAAAAAAGTATGATATACAATGATTAATTGTTTTATGTCATATTATTATTTTTTTGTATCTCTCGTACGATGAAAAATATATCCAAAAAAAAAAATTAATTAAATTCTTATCAATTTCTTTTTCTTCTTAAAATTACATTGTTTTATCAAATGTTTATTCGAAGAAAATAGAAAAACAATAATCATATAAATATACATAAATAAATCTATAAGGATCAGAAGAAAAGGGAAAGATTATATAAAAGAGCAAAAAAACAATACGTGATGCATTCAAATGATATCACTCGAACAAAAATATTGACTCATACTTGGAAAAAAACAACCGAAGAAAGAGAAAGAGAAATACCCAGTAAATAAGACTATGTCGTATATATAAGCTAAGGATTCTATTGAGATATTATTAATTGAGGGTTGGCGCAGAACACAACACAATATTCCCCGACGTATTCATCGTTTATTGGTTTTTTTCTTGTAATATAAAGAAGAACTGTGAATAAGTCAACCAATAAAGTATCAATTTTACAACTTTTAACTTCACAGTAAGTTGAAAAAAAAACATTAATAATCACTAAATTCTATGTAATTTCGAACAATTTGAGAAGACGACGATGATATGTAGTAAAACAATAAGAAATTCACTTCTATTTTCCCACTCTATCACAGACTGATTTGTATTGAATTAAATACAGGTCAGTCTATTCTTTCTTGAATCTGTTTTCAATATTACCGTTCTACTTTTTGTTATGATCCTAATCAATCGCCTTCTTTTTTGATGTTTTCATTCGTCACAACATTTAGGTGTGGGTATGGGTCTTCCTTTCCCAAATCGACAGCCACAGCCACAGCCACACCCTGTTCCTTCATACAGTCAGTTCAGATCTCATATAGTGGACAGACTGATGTCATCATACGAGTGATTGGTTTCTAGTTAATGTTTAAATTTTTTTAGTGTTTCTGTCTAAATATTTTGGTCTAACGTTAGAAACCAAGTATATGTAGAGATCGATGGTGATTAACAATGTCAATCTTTTGATCGTTTTTCTATTATCTAGAGTGAAATACCAATGTAGAAGTTTCATAGAAAAAAGTCACTATTAAGTACTTTAATAAACTTTTATATAAGTGAAAAAAATACTTATAAGTAACCCGTTTAAAGTAACTATTAGTATACTTATAGAAACTCAAACGTTTTCAACAGAAACTAGCCGGAAACAAAAGAGAGATCATGAAGGCGTTTTGCCAGTCTTCAAAATCAGTGGTCTTGTTTATGTGGACACCAATTGATAGATACATACGGTCAGATGATGTTATTGCATTCAAGGTCCTTAACAATGCTTACGAGTTTCCGGCTGCAACTCCTCCTATCCGAGCATATCTCCACGTCATTGCGCTAGAAAGAGTAACATCTCTTTGTCTTAGGATCGAACAGAAACAAGCCGATCCTGACATTCTTTCATCAAAGATTGACATCTGAATAAGAACAGATATAACGGGTAAACATATTAGATTACGATTTTTTTCTGCCATTAGCATCGATTTCAAAGGACAAATCTTTTCGAAAGAATAATAAAAACTAGAATCTTCCTCCGTACACTTATCAGGCCGCGAGAAAACACAATATAAATAACGAATGAACGGGTTAGAGTGAGACTTGCCTCCCTAACCTCTCTGTTCAGCTATTAACCACCAAACATTCGCTTTTTCCTTTCTTGTACGACTTCCAACGAATATATTTAGATTACCTTCAACCAAAAATGAAAATCTACGTTTGCCAAAACAGTTGTTGTGATAATACTTGTGAACTTGGTGGTCGTTCTGGTAATGATCCTCGTGGTGGTATTGGTACTCTTTTTGGTTTTGGTTATCCTTTTACTTTTGATGGTGTTGATAATGGTTTTTATTATAATGATAATCAGTGTGAAAAATGTCATCGTTCCGGTACTGATTTTCGTCCTGCTTCTGGTAATGGTCTTGCTACTGTTGCTGCTACTGCTGGTGCTTTTGCTGCTACTTTTCTTGGTCATCCTGGTGCTGTTGGCTGTACTGGTTTTTTTAAATGTAAGAAATGTGACAGTCTTTATTGTCACGAATGCTGTCTTCGTGATAGGTGAGACAAGCTGCCATGACCGATTTCATCCTTGCTTAAGGGACTCATCAGGCATGTTTACAATCTATTATTACAATTAGTCAAAACATCAATTTCTTTTTCTTCTTAAAATTATATTGTTTTATTAAATGTTTATTTAATGAAAACAGAAAAACAAGAATTTTATAAATATATATAAATAAATCTATAAGGATCAGAAGAAAAGGGAAAGATAATATAAAAGAGCAAAAAAACAATATGTGTTGTATTGGAATGATATCACTCGAACAAAAATATTGACTCATAATGGGAAAAAAACCCATATATGAAAGAGAAAAAAAAATACTCATTCAAGGTACTAACTCATACTTGGAAAAAACCAACTGAAGAAAGAAAAAAGAAATACCCAGTAAATAAGACTATGTCTTATATATAAGCTAAGGATGTGGGTGCGTGTTAGGGGAAGCATAACACCAACACACCCACACCCTACCCTCTCGTCACGAAACTACATCAAAGAAAGATGAATTTATTCAGTGCTTAGCTGATCATAACAATTATACTTATAGATTACATTATTATTCAACTATAATCATTTTTTTGATATGTGTATGTGCTTATAAAAATGAAATGAAAAGATTTACATTATAATAATAGATCAAGATTGATTGAAACCATAAAAATTTTGAGAAAAACTTTCGGTAATAATTCTAGAGTTTATACTGAAGTCGGTATTTTCATATGATACACACAAAAATAAACGACAGTATCTTATTACTACATGTTACTTAAAATAGTTTTCTTGCTCAACATTCGATTTCGACTGCAAAGTGGCCATATTTTCGCAGCAATGAACAGAATTCTCATACAGTAAGTTTTTAATAGGTAGTTTCGATTAGTACTTTCTGACCAAGAATCTGTGTTCCAAATTGGCGGCAGCGGCCAAACAAATACAGAAAAGAGCCGTTGAACATGGCTTATTGGCATTGATTGCTTGTCATTATTTTGCAATTTTAGAGAAGAATCAAAAGATGATAACTAGATTATTGAGAGCAACATTAGCAACATAAATATTTACCACTTAGAATCGTTTGCCACTAAATCGAACTATACTACCAACGACAAAATTAATTATACACCTATTTTTGATAGATATTTTCATTAATAGTCAATCACGAAAACTATAAGTTTTTCAGAAAATTTTTTCGTCTACAGGCCTTTGTAGAGCTCGTTTCGCTGATCATTTTGGTGCAAAAAATATTCAAATTTACTCAATAAATAAGGGAACTCCGATTGAAATACTCAAAACTTTCGACTGTTCATGATCGCTGCTGAATAGTAGTTGGTATTTTTGAGTCTTTTGACCCAAGCTCCCTTATTTATTGAGTAAGGTTGAATGTTTTTATTTTACCAAAATGATCAGCGAAACGAACTCTACAGAATCCTATAGATGAAAAAATTTTTCTGAAAAACTTATAGTTTTCGTGGTTGACTATTAATGAAAATATCTATCAAAAATAGGTGTATAATTAATTTTGTCGTTGGCAGATAGATCAATGATTATTGTTCAACAAAAAGTACTTTTTGCATTGATACTTAATAATAGTTCGATACTCTTCTGCGATTCCGTGGTAGCATACAGTTTTCCAATATTTCAACAACATAATAATCATATTTTCAACAGGAATAAAATCATTTTTATGATAATTTATTTATAAACTTAAGGACATTGTTAAAATCGAATAGTTATTAAAAGAATTTATCTAAGAGTATTCAAAGAATTTGAAAACAAATAGTTCACTACGATTGTTTCTTGTTGAAAATGCCTATGTACAACCATACTGTATTAAGTCTACACAATGTTCATCAAATGTCGAATATTGTCTTGTTAAATGTTCAAATTCATCGGTTATTCTCTTTTCTGCAGAGTAGTCAGGACAAGAACAATATGCAAACGGACTAGACATTTTAGATTAACCTAGCAGATATGTCAATATTTCGGACTAGTCATGTTGTTTATATAGTTCGTGCATACATTGGCTGACAACAGATAAAACTAAACAAACCAACTGTTATATTGAAAAAAAAAGAAAAAATTATTTATCTTATCCAGGATATTATATTCTACTTCATCATACGCATTATATCTAATTGTAAGTGAAGACAAATACACAATGAATTTGGAATTCTTACCCAATGAGATCTTACTTCATCTATTCGAATATTTTAAAAGTATTGATCTTCTTCATATATTTTATGGCCTCAATTCACGTTTCAACTTTCTTCTTTACAAAGAAGTTCGATTCTATCGTGTCAAATTTACATCTGTGTCTAAGCATAATTTTGATATGATATGTCAACAACATTTACCATTCATTGCTAATCGAATTATTGCACTTGATCTGTCTGATCACAGAGACACTCCAGAACAAATTAGCCTGTTTCTGTCTTATATACCATCACTTAGCCGATTTACTCAATTGCGATCACTGACATTATTTGATCTTCATTCATATGAATCATTATTAAAACTGTTAGATGAATGTCGTCATTTAAATAATCTCACGCATTTAGACATTCATTCTTGCACTCTTTCAAATGATCAAGTCAATTCTCAATTAATTGTTGACAATATTTGGAGTTTACCAAAACTTACTAATTGCAATTTGTACATCAACTTCGAAAAATATCACCTTCTTTGTCTACCAACAATTATCTCTTTATCTCTTGAATCTATGACTATATATTACGGCCAACTTAAAATGAATCAGATAAACAAATTAATTGAATACACACCTCGTTTAAAACATCTTCGGACAAATGTGACTTCAATTATTGATAATTATATACCATCTCCACTTCCAATATTAATTGATTTGACCATTTATTTTTCTGATTGTTCTAATTATTCGAAAATAATTGTGTTCTTACAAAACATTCCCAATTTACGTCGCTTAGACATTAATATACCGTCTGAACTGATTGATGGTCATCAATGGGAATATATCATTCGTACTTATTTGCCTAAACTTAAAACATTTCGACTCAAAATGTGTAAAAAACTTCCTTTTGACGAGAATATACAAGAATGCATCGATAGATTGATTGATTCATTTCGAAATATATTTTGGATTAATGAGCATCAATGGTATGTTCGATGTTTTGCGTATAATAGAAGTATTCATCTACAAACTGTATCTCAAGCGATTAGTTGGTTTCCTGCTACGCTTTTAGACTTATGGCGATCGACATATCCACATGATAATCATGAAACATTCCATAATAACATTGATGGGATTTATGATGAGACATTTTTTGACACACCAATTCCATCTCACATTCGTTTATCTAACATTGAATATCTTCATATAAAATTTCCTATTAATGATCAATTTTGGTCGATTGTTCCAAGTTTAAACCACCTATACTCGCTTACAATATCATCATATGTTGATACTTTTAAATCTCAATTGCAAGATTTATTTAATCGAGCGCCTTATCTTTACGCACTAACTATTCGTCAAGATGCATCATTACCTTTACAAATGTCATTGTTTACTTGTACGAATATATCCGTTCGCCATCTCGATCTTCGCGACTGTAATCATTGTTTTAATCAGGAAGAATGTATTACATTGAGTCATTCATCTCTTACTACTCAATGTGAAGTTCTTTCTATTGGAGTTAATAATCGTGAAAGTATTATTATTCTTGTTACGAATCTGATTCATCTTCGAATATTACATATTTATTGGAATGATGAAAATAATTCTGAACAATGTCAATTAACAGAAAATAATCATGAATGTTCTGGTAAAAGAACACAAATATCAGATGAACTTGTTCAATGGTTAAAAGATCGATTACCATCAAAGTATTTGGTCAATAATAATCCATATTATGATCATGATATTTCAATATGGATTTGAAAACGAAAAACAATAAATACACATATCAATTCTAATCATAAACAGACATTATTTCGATCAGCTGATTTAATAATAATGATATTTTGTGTCTATGTATCTGTGTTTTTATATAATTTTGTTCACTGTATTCAATAGCAGACACTTCATATATTATTTTAATACGATGATCAGCAAGTAACTAGAAGCATTAGCCAAATCGAGAATTGTAGATTAAGCAGCGGGTGTGGGTGTGGGTGTTGGTATGAATTATGTGTTCAGCTACACCTGCTCTCACACCCACCCACATCCGCGTATCACTTGAGAAGGTTCCCTCGTAAGTAATTTTATTCTATCATGATTTTTGACTTATCCTTAACCAATCATTAGATTAATTATTTGAGTAACCCTAGCAATACTTAATTAGTAGGCAGATTACAGATATAAAAATTGGAGGTTTTACTTATTTACAGAGATGTATTTCAATATCATTATAGTTCCACTGGACATGAATTGTCTCATTTTAAACAACGATCTTTTCTCAGAAAAAAACATCATGTTATCATATGAATTAAATATACTTGCTCATAGAATAAGAATGAAATAAGTTTCCATATTAGTAGTTATTTTCTGATAATTAATGTCATAGAGAAAGATAGATATGATGTAAAAGGTTCTTTTTTAAAGAAAAAATACAATAACATAACGACATTTGTGACGATTTTAGTTTACTTTTTCAAAGAGATAAGTCAAATTTTGCTTTATAAATGAAGAATCTTTTCGTTATGAACACCGAAACTTCACAAAAGCTATATATTGAATTTCAAATAAGAATAATTATCCAAGTAAAGATTTTCTATAGTTTTAAGAGAATTTAAACGAGATCCAACAGACATAATATCTGTGGCATAACAATTTTTTCATTTTCTAAGTAAAGCTGTGAAATCAAAGATATAAATCATAGTGTGTAAACAAAAAATATCGTGAATAGGGTGTGAATGTTTATGAGTATAGATAAAATGGGTCACATTCATACATATCCACACCTCTATTAACTGTTTAGATATGAAAAGAAGAAAGCAGAAGAATTATGCATGTAAATCTTATTTTTTAATTTTTCTTGATTTTCAGTTGCTCAGTTTGTAGCACTTTGTAGAAAGCTATGAATTGTATTAGATTCGTACTCATTTGAATCTCCTCTGAACATTTTGAAGTATCGAACTTGATAGATGTACTGTTTCATTTATATGCACTGGATATGAGTGCATATGTAAAGGTGTAGAGAATTTATACCAGCATCCATTGTAATTTTTTCTAGAAAATATCAATATAACTTCAGAATAATTCTTTTAATATTCTTTTTTGTTGTTCTACGACAAAATGAGAATAAAGAAATTCGAATAAATGACCAAAAATTTATTTTTTGAATAACAATCATAGAAAGAAAAACCAACTTTCATATTTATTTTTAACAGAACAAATACAACGAATAAAGGAATGTTTTTTTTAAGTTCGTCAATAATCTAGTTCATGCTAAGCGAAGCACTAATTTGAACACATCCCAAACTTGTTTGTTTCGAGCTTCGTCCAGCTGTCAGATTTATTCGTTTGCATGTTCGAGTTTTTAGTGCTGAAAGTTCGTTGAACTTTGCAGCACTCTTCTGCCTTGAACGAAAAGGTGTAGCAAGACAGATATTAATATTGACCCGCTGTAATTCCTTTAAATTTTGTAACATTTCATCCCAATCGTCGATACATAACCAACCATATATTTCATTACAACAAGAATGACCTTTTACTTTTAATGTTATTAACAAAGGCATAGCAGATAAGAGTTTAACTAATGACTGCAACTTCCAACACTTAAATTGAAGATCAACATGACGAACATCATATTGCCGGGTAAAATTTAAAGGTATTCTTCTGTCTTGAAATATAGAATTAAAACTATCACTTTTTCCATCAGGAGGATCATCAGGTATAAAAACCTTTTGAAAAGGAAATATCAACGTGAACAATGAATTTTTGTGCATTGAATAAAACTGAAAATCCGAGTTTCTCAACAAAATGACTCGTTGAAGAGAAGAATGAGATAAAGCGATATCAACAATTGGATGACCAATCCAGGGTATATCGGAATAACGAGCCAACACTACTTTGAAATTGATCAATTGAGACAGTTTGAAAATCTAAATAAATATAACAATGAAATATTCAAAATAGTTTATCTTGTCATGCACTATATAACACAATTGAATAGAGCGTTGTTTTTCCTCTAGGAGTTTTCCATGATTTCAAAAAAAGCTTTATAATATGTATAAAGTAGCTCAAATTTTTGAATTAGATTTCTAGCTTTCAAAAATATTTATTAAAACTTTGACTAACTTCATTGATCATTTGAAGACATTCGTCTTTCTTCTCATTGCGATAGACAATGGAAAGCGATTTAAGATTATGAAATATACCAATTGGAATAATAACATTGTTCATGTGGAGTGAAATGACTTGCGAAGAAGAATAGTTATCAGGAAGATAACACATTTCATGATCAAGATGTACATGAAGTTGCTGACGTTGATCGAATATGCATGATGTTAGAAATGAATTAAGATTAGAAAATGATTGAAAAATTTCTTTTGTATTGAAATATTCGAAAATTTTGAGAATTATCTCGCCGGAGAGACATTGAAACGTTGAACGAAAATCTTTATTATATAAATTCAGATGATATATATCGATAATTAGATAGAACAGGAAAATATCTTACTTTGTTCATCAGTTGTATTAAATCGTTTTGCTAGATGATAATCGATACTTTCTTCCATGTTTTTAAAATAAAATATAGCTGCACAATGAATATATTTGTACTAACAGAGAATGAGAAGCATTCTATCACATGTTATAGTCATTCGGTGACCTGAAACAATGGATAATCGACGGCGGTCAATGCTACATAGGTTTTCTGTTGACTTTTTCCTTTAAGATAGCAAAAGCAAAATCAAGGTCAAAGGTCGTGACCGCACTTGTTCGCATACATGAAGAAGAAAATAAAGAGCGAGAATGATGTGCACCAAAAAAATAAGAAGAGAACATTTTCCATTGGTTCACTTTATCTTATTTCGTAAGCCTATGTTTCGGATATCGTTTAAATAAGTAAATATCATAGATTTATCCGAAAAAAATTAATATAAAAGCAACTGTTCGTCCAATTAAATCACTATAAACAACAAGTAGATATGCTAGTTTATTATAATAAATCTCGATATTCTGATTAGATTTTCTATTCAATTAGTCTATAAATAAGATTTATATATATTCATCGTGCCAAGTTCACTCTGATAAAAAACAAAACTGATATAGTACGAAAAACTGCATCAGAAAACATATTTTCTATCTTCAAATGTTTCTTATAAAAATTTCACTAGGAAGATGAAATAAGTAATTCGTTGTCGTCATTCGATCTTTTTAAAAAGTGTACTTGTACATATTCAATGATTACATTATAATGATGTTGAATACATATTTCGAAGTCATATTCGACTATGAATAAGAAAATATTTGATCGAAAATTTTATTTGTACTTTATTGGAGTGAAATAATGGATTATCGAAGAATACATTAATTCATTAATCGATTAAGTCTGTTCGTCAACGATTCATTCTCTTGTAGGAAATCATACATTTCGAATATCGAATATTCTTCAATTGAAAATTATTTCGTCATTCTTCTTGTTAATGCTCAAATTTCATGACAAGAAACATGCGAACTAGTTCCAACTATTGAAGATAAATGAGTTTTTTATTTTCTTCTTTGATAAAACTTTGAAATGAAGACATAGTCTGATTGATTCTTTTTTTCGAAAATTACAATAAACCGTTTTAGGTGGTTTTGACATTAGCAAGAAATATCAAATAATGCTTTAATAATGATGTTTTTGTTTTTTACTTCAATATGTCAATTAATTCTTTGGAAACAAATTCTTGATCGATGAATTAGAAATAGTTTTATTGAATATCTTTCTAAATGGAAAGGTTTTAATTATGATGATCAGAATACTGTAACTTCAAGATATTCAGTCTTACTTCAGAAGTAAATAATTAACAATAAAAAAAATCGCTTTTTTTCCCTTCCTCAAATTATTCATTAATTAAATTTATTATTGAAGTTTGTTATCTTGATTTATATTAATCCAATTTATTTCTGTACATTCTACTACATAAGTCTTTTTTGTGTACTCAAAAAGTGAGTACACTCTAGAATCGGTCACTGTGCCCGTCCGTCTGTTTACACGATAACTTTTGAAAGGAGGATTCGATCACGATGAAATTTTCTACATAGTTTAATCTCAACAATATCTCGATCGAGTTCGAAGATGAGAAGAATTAGCCGAGCCGTTCCTGAGTTATTGCAAAAATACTCATTTTTTCCTAGGGCTTCCTATAGGAAAATCGACCTATCCCCACTTTCGTAAAACACTTTTCCTATCATAGTCAAATAAAACCTCAACTATTATATATCATTCGATAGAGAATTTCACGAGTTACAAAATGGTATATAAAACATGAAGAAACAAGAAGACTAACTCACCTATTGCAAGAGTAATTAAACGGGAATTGGTTCTGTTTGTGTCCACACTCTAAGTGAGTGTGGATGTGGGATTCTAGGTAAAAGTAGATCCACAGCCCATAGCCGAATCAGTCATATATGCACGAGAAAGTTCTACGACAATATGCATGTAATATAAAAATCACTCTAAAAGTTGCTACACCGGAATCCATGCAGGAGACTGTCAGTTATTGAAACTTTAGTTTTTTGGAAAGATCTTTTCTCGTGGAATGCATGATTGTAAAGGAAATTCTTTCATATTATATTGTCTAGTACGCTTGAAGAAAGAATCTGATCTTTGGTACTTCTGCTTAACAGCTTTCAAGACAGAATCGTCGACAGTTAATACTAAATTTATCTTTAGCAAATATTTAGATACAGCAGGAAAAAACATATGATATTTGCCTTGACAGTTGAAATTGGCGAATATATCAATACAGATTTGATGGATATTTTCTGTGATATTACCAATTATATTCAAATAAGAAGAGAGAAAATACATTCATTATTGAGTTTGAAAACCCTTTTGTATTAGAGGATAGTACGAAAAATGAAATATGGTCTCGCAAACAAAAACAACAGAATGCTGGAAGAGAGAAATAAAGAAACACTCAAAATTAAAGAAAAAATTCAACTGCAATCGAAAATGCTGTTCGGGTTTAAAAGTGTTTTTTTTTTATTAAGAATAGATTCTTCGACACCATCTACGTACTTTAGTAAGAAATTAGTACGAATAAATCTTTTTAATACAAGTTACTTACTTGAAAATTTTCAGACTTTAATATGTAAAAATATTATTATGAAAAGTTGAATATAATGTCTTATTATTTAGTGCGATGCACTTTTTGCAATCATATATGATTAATTTATAAATGGAAACGTACCTTTTTTTTTAAATATCTTTTAGCACTTTAAAGAACAAAAATAATGGAAACATTCATATCTAGAAATGAGCATGGCGCATTAAAAAAAAGAAATTTTTATCAGCACTTGCACGTATGTCATGCACTCTTCCGCACTAGAAGCTCTTTTGCAGGCCCATTAAGTTAGGTTCATTTTACTTGGTACATCGAAATAGACAATTTCCCCTTGTTCCAACATAAGAATGCGATCACTGTTCGCTATTGTATTCAATCGATGTGCAATTGTCAGTATCGTATGATCACGAAACTTATCTCTAATAACACTTTGAATCATACTGTCAGTCACATGGTCAACATGAGCTGTAGCTTCATCGATAAGCAATATGTGACTTTTCTTGAGAATGGCTCGTGCTACACAGATTAATTGACGTTCTCCAGCACTCAAATTACCTCCTGATTCAGCCACCAATTGATTAAGTCCATCAGAATGGTCACGTACTAATTGTTTGAGTTGAACAGCTTCAAGTGCTCTAAGACATTCTTCATCAGAATACTGTTCGAATGGATCAAGATTGTATCGAAGTGTGCCACAAAATAGAATCGGTTGTTGTGGAATGACACTTAAATGAGAACGAAGTTGATCGAGTGAAACGCAGCCAATATCAATATCGTCAATGAGGATACTGCCGGTGGTTGATGATTGATGGACAAGTCGAAAGAGAGCCTGAAGCAGTGATGATTTTCCGGCACCTAAATAAAACCTTAGCTATTGATAAACGAATTTCATCAATTTCTGTCTGAGTCCATTTAACAACTTGACTTCTGTTAATTTTTCAAGTAGGTTTCTCAGAAAACAAAGCTTACACCTCGAAAATATTTCAAAGAAAACTTTCATATCAAATAATTTCCCCGACAGTTCAAATCCTGCAAGCACAATTTTCATTTGTCCAAGTGCGCACGATCGTATCTTGTTCGAGTTTTGCAATAATAAGAACAGATGATACTTTTCTGTTTCATATACTTGATTTCTATCTAATTGTAACATACTATAATCAATCAGATTTTCCATTTTCGTATATATTTTACAAACCAATCTAGAAATGTTAGTTCCTTGGAAACAAGCAATTAGAGAAGTAGAATGTTTTTTTTTTTATTGCATATACTACTCATTAGTTAGTGACCATTCGAATAGTTGAAGCTGAATCCTTTTTCGATTTCTCAGAGTCTTAAGTTTAACTAACACATAATGCTTTGTATCGTTTTGGCAATTTCGAATCCTTGATTTTCGAGCTGAAACATTATACTTTTTGTTCATCTCTATGTATTTTGTACAAATGAAAGTATGTCTCGTCTTTGTCTAAGCAAGTAATGCATGGACTCGTTGAGCTTCACTGAACTCATGCTAGAGAGTCGAAGATTAACTAAAAACTCTATTGTAGAAGTTCTTTGGATTAGAAACTATAACACAAAAAGAAATGTGATTTTCTGTATTATGTAGCATAACATTTGATACCGTAAGCATTATTGAGACGAACTGAAGCTGAATGTCAGGGATAAATAGTTATGGCTTTGTAGTAAGTAACCATTGCTCCATGAATAAGAATATTGCTTCTCACGGATGGCCAGAACCGTACATTCGAATAGATTTGTTGAGAAAATTTTGATCGAAAATTATCGGCAACATCACAAAAAGTATACTAAGAAAATAATAACCAGGATCTTTTAGGCTAGGTCTTCATTAAATTAGTCTCACACTCTCACGTTTCTATGATCCTTCCAAACAATTTATTTACTGATCATCATTTATAAATATCATGAGAGTGTAAAAAAGATTTGTAACGGTTTTCCTAACTCTTTGTTAAGATATGTCAGTCTTTGGTTGATTTTGCTCAAATTCCTATCAAAAAATGTTTTCACTATAATCAGGTATATATTTGGAAACATTGGCAAAGAATATAATTAGTCATACCCGTTCGACCAATCACTCCAATCTTTTCCTTGGATTCAATGCGTAGATTAAGATTTTTCAGTGCAGCATCCAACTCTGACCGATATCGAAATGTGTAGTTTTTGAATTCGATAATACCACGAGAAGGCCAATCATTTGGTGGTTGAACGAGTACTTCACTTTTACTATTATTTTTGTGACTTTCCGGCTCAAGCTGGCCATATTCATGAATACGTTCAGCACTGGTCATGTAATTTTCGGCTTCTACTGATTGTCGTATAGCATATTGAAAGAGAGTCGTGATAGTGATACAGTAGGTGATACTGAGAGCGGCTGCCGATGAATCGACTTGATCACGTAACGCTACTGCAAGAATAGCCGTAACCAGTGTGAGCGAGCATGTCATATAACTGAGTTGCAAGCCAATCCAGCGACCAGCAGCAATAAGAGCGAAGTAAGCCCGAGAATTAGCATCAACTCTTTCCATGTACATGTTCACAAAATCATCTTGAACTTCAAACGAACGAATACTAGTGAGTCCGTCTAATGACGATGAAAACAATGCATAGATTGGACTACGCGTTACACTTTCAAGCCGTTTGAGTTGAAGGCTCGAACGTATATAGAATCGACGAAGCCACCAAAATGTGGGAATTAATGGAATAAAAAGCAGAAGCACCCATGGATTAGTGATTCCGATTATTATAACAGAACCAAAAATCATCAGAAGATTTTGAATAGTATCGATTATAGTCTGAGGTAATAATTCGTCTAAGACTTGTTGATCTTTGCTTGCTCGATTTAATATTCTTCCGCTTGGATTACTTTCGAAGAAGCGTAAAGAGGTATACAAGATACCCGTGAGCATTTTATTGTGAAAATAAGTCGAACCACATAACATAACATAGAGAAGAAAACCGGTACGCACTAATGCAGCGATCAATGTACCGATTGTCGATCCAAGATAGACATAAGCATCAATTGAGGAACTGTTGTTTTGTTCGGATTTAGCAGACCACATAGAGAGCCAACGATTTGTAAAGTCGTACAGACCTTGGGTAGTCAACAGTAAAATTATGACTAGGAAAAATCCAAACCAGCGTAAAGGTGGCGCAGTGAATAGTTGAAACCAAACATCCCACTTGACTGCACCACCGGTTGATGCTTCACTTTTGATGATCGAATTCATATCAGCTGTAGTAGTGTTAAGTTTAAAGTTTGCTTCGTCGTCATCAGATAAATCTGCCTCAACGGTAGCATTTGATTGCTGATCTTCATTAGATTGCTCACTATGTAATTCATCTATGTGACCATTTGCTAAGTGAATCGTTTGATTTGCTTCCTTTAAGAAATGTATCTGATGTGTAACCAATATTCTAGTCTTTTGACGAAGAAGACTACGTGGACCAATGCATTGATCAAATATTTTCTTTGCCACTTTTGGATCAACAGCAGCAAGTGGATCATCGAGTAAATACAAATCTGCATCAGCATACAGGGCACGAGCTAGCGATATTCGAGCTTTTTGTCCTCCACTCAGATTAACACCTTTATCACCAATCATCAATAAATCACCAACTTCACCAAAATTCTGTAGATCGACATCAAGACAACATGCTTTAATTACATTCTTGTAACGTTCTTCATTCATTGGTTTGCCAAGTAGAATATTACTTCGTATAGTGTCAGCAAATATCCATGACGATTGTGGAGTGTACGAAATAGAACGAACATGTTGTTGTACTGTTCCGCTGACAAGATTGATCTCACCAAGAATGGCAGCTAGTAGAGATGATTTTCCGGCACCGACAGCACCTTTCACTCCCACCAATGTACCATGTTTGACCTTAAAATGGAGAGAAGATAGACAAGGAGTATTTTTCCAAGAAAAAGACGCATCTTTCATTATGATTGCATGATCTCCTTTTTTATTTTGTTCTTTTTCTCGTCTATTTCTTAGTATTTCTAAGTGCATAAATTGATCGATTCTTTGGGCAGCAACACGAGCTTCACTGAGCTTTTCAATACTCATTGGCAACATCGACATTACTGGCGATCGAAGCAAAGAGAAGAAGGATAACGCCGTAAAAATGTCTGCTGGTATTAACTGTTTACCTAGGAGCCAAGCGCCACCAAATGTAGCAAGAGAAATCAAAGGTAACGATGCAAAGGAGATAGCACTATTAAGAGCACGCAAACGGCTCGCGTTGAATACACTCTGAAGTTCAGATCGTCGTGTCTTCTGCACTAATTTTTCCATAGCTTTTTCCCAGTTGTACATTTTAATAATTTGACATCCGTTGACAAGCTCATTGATTGTCTGAATGCGTTTGTCCGTGCGTGCCATTGTTATTCTTCGATATCGACTGAATAATTTGCTGAACACGAACTGCACAGGTACTAATAAAAAGAGTACAGCATAGCCGAATAATGTTGGTAAACCAATGTTCTGCCAGATAAGACCGAACATTATGAGAGCTTCCAAAGGTGCTACCCATAAGTAGTGAAAGGTAAAACACATTTCTTCAAATTTGCCCGCATCATTTGCAACTAAATTGATTGTTTGAGCAGCAGTAGTCCTATAAAGTGATGCTGTATTGATCGTCAGTAAATGTTTATAGATGGCACAACTTAGTGTATTGCGAACTTGAAAGCCTACTCGTTGATTTCGAAAATAGCTTTGTTGATGAGTTATGGCTTGTAGAATCGAGATAATACCAAGACCAACAGCTGACAGATAACCCGCGTAAGGCAGTTTTCCTGGTGTATCACTGATGTAAAGAATAATTTCACGAACGAGTAATGGCTGTACGACACGTGTCGCGGAATATGCCAACATGAGCAACATGGTTTGAAAGAAATCTTTTATAAATGTTCGTCTGATTACATACCATGTGCCTGGCCATTTAGAACTATCATATTTGACTTTGTTCAACAAGACGGAACACTTGTCGTTAATTGAAATATCGCTTAAATCATCATCAACAAGTGTGCGCCGATTTCCTAGTGAAAGAATAGGTTTAATCCACCACCAAAGTGCTACATGTATCCATCTTGTCCATGATGATTCTGCCCAATCCAAACGGCAGGATTCTCGTTTTTTATCTGGCGTATATGGATGAACGGCGCTCTTATTGTGCTGTTGCATTGCAAACACTAAAATATTTATATCTTAGCTTCCACCCGAAGTATATGGACAATTTTTCTTTAAGAAGACTCCTCATTGTCTATTCCACTCACCGTGTCAATATCAAATCGTTTGAGGATGTGAATGTGAAATTGAGCATAAATGCAAATATCTATCTCTGTGCCAAGAGATACACTGATGTGACATGCTATCACCAGTATGTGACATCATCCTTACGTTACTTCATATCATCCTTGTATCTTTACATAATACTGTCCATAGTGTTCAATATTGTTTCGATACCTTTGTAACCGCTGCGCTATTCATTGCGTATATGCTCATTGTTCTCTTTTTACTCCGAGAGATTACCACATCAAACAGATGCAAGGATAAATCGTTGAGAAGGAGAAAGAAGAGAAGAGAACAATCGAGAATATTCTCAGTGCATATTACGCAGTGTGAAGGATACAACGCACTCGAGGTTACACATCTTTGTTGGATGGTATATATATATTGATGTACAAGTCTTAGAGAGATATAGATATAGACATAGGGATGTATAATGTATGTTAATATTGGGAGAGAAATAAAATCACATACAACAAGTAACGGAATTGAGCTTGAAGAAATAATAAACAAGTCAAGGCCTTAAAATATACGATCCAAGTGATTCACCCCACTCCTTCCCTTCAGATCACGTCGAAAATCAATCTTCAAGTCTCGACTTCAAACTTGGCACAAACAAAGTCCTTAATGAGATTAGCTGGTTGTGCAAGTTTTAGCTTTTCTGATATTTCCTATCTTGAAATATTCATTATTCGAAATTTTTGCATGTATAAGAGCAAATGTTATCTACATATTTACATCTCTTAATCGAAATTTGAAAATTAATTTTCGACGTGACCTGAGAGCGATCACAGCTTTTTATTGAAATATCCGGTAAAATTTCGATATCTCGAGAGCAACGGCCCACAAACATTATATTCTTGCATCTACACGTATCATACCTTGAGAAATTAGGCCTATAGAGATATTTCAAACAGCTCCAAATTGTCTACATTACTAAACCTTTATTTCTGTGTCGCAGCGTGTAGATACGGAATGCCTCCCGAAGAGTCGCGACCCATACTCCCCTTTGTGTACAGAATAAATCCTACCAACCCTTTTATTCACTTAGAACATTAAATCCTCTATAAATCGCTATTCATATAAATCTATTGTTATAGAGCCTTATAACTTTAAACCCCTGTAATATTTATAACGTTATACCTCTATTCCTTTAATAGCTCTATAAATATGTGGCTGATAATGATCGGTCTTTTTTCGATTTGACCACAAATTTGAATTCTCCATCAACTCACACGCATGTATAGATAAAGTTTTGCACATAGTTGTTAGATTCTCCTTTCCAAAATGATTCGATTGACATATGATAATGATGCAAAAATCTTTATTTTAAAATTTTTTTTATCAAGGTATCATGGAATATTCATGAATTTAGATAACTGGATTGTTTCCTAAACGAAAAAACTGACAATTGGAAAAATACTTGACTCGTATAAAACAAATGAAGCTTATCGAATATGAAACTCAAATTTTGTTCATATTTGGTACAATTCACCCATATTTATTATCACTATAGATTTTAATAGTACTCTGTGATGGGACTATGTCATATACAAATTGGACACTTATTTTATCAAAACATGAGCACTTTCATGTTTTCTTCTCTTAATGAAACAAAACTAGTTTTCTCAATTATGTCATGTTTAAACTTTAATCTTCTTGATTCTATCTGCGAACCACAGATATAATACAATAAATTTTGTGAATAACTGCCAGTTCCCTTCTCGATTAACTTAAATGATGATTAGCTGATCCAATGCTGTTTTTATCCCGAATGAACCACAACAAATAGAAAAGTATGACTCCAAGTACTCCTAAATATGACAACGTAAGATGAAATCGTCATAAAGGTACAGATAAAATCTGAGTGAAGATTATTTTTCAATGGAACAGATATGACTCTACTCAACTGTTTACGTTGATGTGGAATATTGGATGCAGGCTACACACAAAAAGAAGTCTAATAATAAAATTACCAAGATTCGATTTTTTACTATTCACGTTCTCTTTTTAAAACAAAACGATTGATTTATCAACAGAGGCAGAAAATTATTTCAAATCAATGCATTCATTTCATCCATTTAAATTGAACATATTGATTATATTCCAATAGAACAACTTTTCATTCGGAGACTACACGAATTTGTTCGATTTCTAAGATTCACAAACAATCAAATTAAAACTGTGGAGTTGATTTGAAACAACAAGAATGGCAAAGTTCATCTTCCCTATAGTAAACGTAGCGCTGAAACCAAGTATAAAAATTTCCCTCTTTTTTTTATATACTTTTAAACTATAACTGTCCTTGAACTTTTCAACAAGACAAACCAATCTTAAAAATATGTGATTATTTTTGTTAGTTTCCATGACGAGATCTAACCAACCATGTGCAAATTTAAGCCAACATTGAATCGGAAAGTCACGCATACTGAAACTGGCTGTCTATAGTAGTTCTGTTGAGTCGTATTTTGTAAAAACGAACGATCTAGATTGTTCATTTTAAATATATTTGAATAATACTAATTATGACAGTGCAAATATAGAAAAAAAATTACATTCTAATTTCGTGTTCAATCTTATTGTAAATTGAGTATTAATTGTTTGTACCGGTGGTACTTTCCTGTTATCATGATCACCGTAGGGTGAGGATGAGGGTGGTCGGGATAACAGGAAAGTACCTTTCAGTATATTTCCTATCGAATCTTATTTTTCAAGCAAAATAAGTTTGATCCACGTTAAGCTCTTTATTAGACTATCATCTTAGCAAAATGTTGTAATTATTGAACAGAGTATACTAGAATTACAAGTGTTTCAAACTATAGCTTTACTTTAGTCGACATCACAAAAGTATGACAATTCTGAAAGTTGTTTACATCTGCTAGAAGCTATATTTTAAAAATTTCGGAATTTCACGTACAAATTTTTTTAATCAAGAGCTCTCTTCGAGAAAGTGTTTGAGATCAAAATAAAAAAAATATCTGATATTGCTCTAAAAACTTCATTCCAGCAAAGAAAATTCAATAAAAAGTCGATGCTTCCGCTAAACTTTGATAATTCTATGTATCCCTGATAGTTATTATAATATAAAGATCTTCTGTTCATTAGAAAAGAAGTAAGTTCAAACGAAAGTGTCACTTGGGAATGATGTCATATTAATTTTATGAATATCGGAAACTGAAATGTTCGAATAGTATTTTCTTGCTTTTAACTACGAAGTAGAAATGTAACAAATTTTTTCTATATGTCACAAAACGTGTTACAAAACAACTTCATATAATCCCCAATAGATCGTGTTGAATCTTCAAAGAAAATATTTTTATCGAAACTTAAGAACAAATGTGATGTTATTTTAATAAACATCAATAGTTAGAGACTTAAATTCTTTTTGCAAAGTTAAAATTTCGAGAAAGGTTAGGTCTCAAATTCTATTTAAATATTCATCGAGTTAGATAATGCATTTGACATCAATAATTTAATTGTAAAATGGTACATTTTTCAAGAGAGAAATTTTCGAAAAATTAATTTTTTCTTGTCGCTATTATTGCCAATGGATTTCTGTCTTCGACCATTGATTATTTTCATTCGACTTTGGCTGATGTTTTTTTTTTATATCAATAGAACAATTCAGCATTTATTCAGTGAAAATCAAAAATCCTTTATACTTCGAATTGACATTAAATAGAAGCGATTCATTCGATTAGTCAATTTATCAATAAAAGAACTTTTGAAATACGATCGAGATAGAAAATGGTATGACATGGTACGGATTAATTGAATGATCATAATTTTTAGAATCAATTATAATCTTATTATGAGATAATTACTTATATTTATTTAATTATATTTCGTCTATTTCCATGAGAGAAATTGAGCTTGTTTTTAAATAAATAAAATATTTGTAATTGACATCGAAAAATTTATTTTTAGGTTCTTCTTCAAAGTTCAAATAAAAAATATAATAGATTTAAAATTTCATTTGAATGGTTTGCTCATCTTTTATTTTCTATTATCTTACAAATTGATAAAATTTAAAATCGTATGTCATTCTCTCCATCTCAATTTATTTTGTATTCTAATTTTATATTTGATTAAATTCTGATGCAGAAATTGTAAATGAAATTTTCGACGAATCGAATTCTAAATGAAAAAAATTCGAAATAAATCAAAGTTTACTCATTTTTCAATAATAGCTATAAATATTATTCCGTTGGACTCAATAATTAAATTATCTCATTGAAAACATATAAGGAAATTTCATCACAAGAAATTTTCTTGTTGGTTATTTTTCTACTGACTATTTAGTCAATTCATCTGAATTCTTTCATACTATTTTCAATGGCTCTCGATTCTCAGAAAAAAAAATCCTTAAGTATTTAATCGCTGTTTTGGTCGTCGTTTTAGAAACAGTCCACATCCATACTCCTTAATATCAATAAATAAAAATTATCATGTTATTTATGTATACTCACAATCGGTTTTCATCATCTTCAAGATAGTAGTATTGTCAACAAAAGGATCGGTTAGATGTGTTTACAGCAAAAAAAGAAAAGAAGTATCTACTATACTATTAGTCTTATCAATATGTCACGAAGTAAAACTTTTGCATTGTGCTTCTTCATCATGATACAGCAATGTTTAGCTGTAATCATGTAATGATAACGACTGTCTTCTATTTGCTCTTCTCCTCTTGTTTGTTCATTCTTGTTCTCTCTCTTTTATCTTTCTCCTGCTCCTATTAGATATAATATGACCGTACACTCTGAAAATATGAATAAGGTCAAAAAATATCTATACTAAGAGTGTAGATATAGTTATTTCTCTAGATTTTCCTTGCATCAAACTAATTTATTCTCTTTTTATTTTCTATAGCTTTTGTTTTTTTCGTAAAGGAGTGGCGTCGTACTTCGAGCTTTCATTTGGATTTGAGGCGTAGGAAGATCGAAATTCAAGTAAGGTTTTCTTTTTTCTATGATGTAAGAGTGCTTATGCGAGTGCGATGTGAATGGATGACCCTGTGGGTGCGTTTGGGCAGACGAAGAGAAGACTTATGTCATATCTATAGGCATCTAACTCAATTCTATTGAAGAAATCAACGTAGGAAAGAAAGTCGTATATTGTGTTTCTGATCGTCTTATGATAAAAATGTAGTTACATTCAGTCATAAACTTTTTTACGAAAAACAAGCGAATATCGAGACCTTATACTCATGTTTTATATATAGGAAAAAAGATGATTTCATGGTAAAGATTCGACACGAATTGATCATCAATACTTTAACAGTAGGAATTAAATGAATGAAATAAAGAAGAATGGAAATAGTGAGTTCAAGTTTTTTCTCGCTGTACGTGTGACTCATTTTTCATTCGATCAGCGGCTGGAACTTTGGGTGTGGGTGTGGCTATGAAAGAATTAAAGATCCACACCCACACCCACACGCAAGTAGGGCAGTGAAATTGATCATTACATACCAAGCTTTATATTGAGATATCGACTCCAACTTTCATGAATTTTATTCTGCAAGATAATAAAGTGACATCTTGAATGTGAATATTCTTCTCAGAGTACATGAACACGAGATCTTCACTCACTCATATCCACACCTTCACGTCATTTTTTCTCACAGTTTTTGATAATTTCTGTTGAAAAATAAGCATTCTTCAGATAAATTAGAAGGGTGTGAGTAACTATGGTTATATCTCTTTGCTGCATACTACCCACCCACTCAAACAAAAGCCTCGATATGACTGGTTTGATTAAAATTGAGCGATGGAGTTATCACGTTTCGACAGTCAAACAACAATAATAGTTGAATGTGGATGGAGATCAAATACCCACTCACGACCTAATATATTTTCATGTATTATAAAAATCTATAATACTTATTAATATGTATGCCTATGGATACTATAAAGTAGAGGGTTGATTGAATTCAAATGTAGTATACGGTAGTTCAAGATAAGGTTATACGTGCGTACTTACCGACTTGAACTAGACTCTATATCATGTAAGGACATATTTTACCTACGCATAGATTTGAAATGCATAAAGTCAGTACAATCTGATAGTCATTTTACTAATTTCTATATGATTTGTAAACTTATTCAATTGATATCCTATAATAATCAAATGTTGTAATATATTGATCTTGGTTTTTTTTCGACTTAAATCGTATCAAAAGAATACTGGTGATGTTTTTTTTTTAATAAAACTCTCGAAAAGATAAATCCAATCATCTGGTATATAAGAGTATAAAATAAAACTGTCAATGTGAAATCCGTTAACAAAATATGAATAGTGTTATATAAATGTGCAGTCATCATCAGCAAATATAATAACTATTATTTCGTTGACGTGAGATTAGTCCATATGAGCAAAAAAGGCACACAGCCATCGTAAAATTTTTTTTTATATTTTTCTGAAACAATGTGAGATTAAAAATATTTATTCAAGATTAGTAAAATGACCAAAATATTAGACTGGATTCATTTCGAATAATCTTAAGCTCTATTCTTCTTCTGCGAGCATAAATATTCCGATCAATTAACCATATATATGTGGTGATCATAGATATCATTGATTCACCATAAGAGGAATAATATAATATATTTATGGATGGACAAAAGATCGAAATCGTAAAGTCTTTTAAATATCTAGGATTTACTTGGACTAGTAAATTGTCATTAAAGCCAGAAATTGACAGGTGTGTCTAAAATACACAGAAATCTCTTGGTAAATTGAAATGGTTAAGGTCAAGAAAATCTTTATCAACAACGATTTTACGAACATGTTTTTTTTTTGTCTATACCTTTCCGCACATCGCTTGGCTATTTTCCCTTTTCCAATACGACCCAAAACTCATCAAGAAATTTTGAGGCGTAAATTTCGAGTAGGAATGAGACTTGTTCATCGGTGTCCCTTTGTATCCGAACGGAATCTATTGACGATAACCAATGAAAATCCTCTCGATTTTTACGTTAAAAAGTACATTAAAAAAAGGTTAAATTAAATATATAAATCCGACTTAGGACGTTTTCCTTTTTTTTAGTGATATATTTCTTTTGGAACGATTTTAACAAAAGTGAAAGAGATAATTTAGGTCATTTTTTCTGGATGGGAAGAGTTAAAAAATTGAAAGATAGACATGAGACTCTATTATTTAAATGGATTGAGTTTGTCGATTAAATTTCCATGTATGTATCGATGCGCCTTTGTTTAAATGCTCTGTTTTTCTTTGTTCTTGCATTCTCATCGCCTTTATCTGTCGTTTTCCTCTCTTATGCATCCTGCCTCTTGATTTTTCTTTTTTTTTCTTCTCTTCTTTATTAGTGCTCTCTCTTTTCTTCAGATTCTCTTTCAGCTGTTTTTTTTTCTTTTTTCCCTCTTTCTTTCTTTCTTTCTTTATGTTTGTTTCTTTTTTGTTTTATCTTCCTTCTGATTTCTCTTCTCAAAAAAGCTCAAAGTATACTATGATAGCTTGATGTCAAAAATATGAATCCTTGTGTATGTTGCTATAGACTATTGCCTGCTGTAATTTTAAATTTAAGTACACCCCTATGTAAGCGCTTCCGAGTGTAAGAATAGATAGCAATATCGAAAAACAAAAAACCTATGAGAGGGATCGAAAGTTTTCAATCATGATTTAGTCGATAAAAAGGTTTGCCATCGATTACTGTATATTTCATTAATTCCACAACATGATCAATCATGCAATTATATTCGATTTAATAAATTTTCATTGAAAAAAAAATCATTTATAATCAAAAATTACTACTTTTTTCTATAATATATATTTTTTTTCATTATTTTATAAGAATTGATCCTTTTGTAATTTTGTGCCGTTTTGTTAGATTGAGTATATCCTCCCGGTCATGAAAAACGGAAAAGACTGTTTTTTTGATTTCTCTATGATAGAACATCTTTTAGGTCCGCTACTTATATTACAGATAGATCTTGTGTTACTCTATCTGCTTGCAAAATTTCAGCCATATACACCAAGCGTTGGCTGAGAAAACGGAAAATCAATCTTACGCACTCACATATAGTTGCGACAAACACTTGTAACTAATGCTTATGTTTTTGGTATTTCTTGTTTGATTCTGACTTGGTAAATATTGATTAGTTGCCTTCTAATCATGATTTGCGAAGAGTAACACCTGTTGTCACCATTTGTAAATCATCATTAGAAGGCAACTAATCAATATTTACCAAGTCAGAATCAAACAAGAAATACCAAAAACATAAGCATTAGTTACAACTGTTTGTCGCATCTACATGTGAGTGTGTAAGATTGATTTTCCGTTTTCTCAGCTAACGCTTGGTGTATATGGCTGAAATTTTGCCAGCAAATAGAGTAACACAAGATCTATCTGTAGTATAAGCAGCGGACCTAAAAGATGTTCTATCATAGAGAAATAAAAAAAACAGGCTTTTCCGTTTTTTCATGACCGGAGGGATATATAATTCAATCGATGTTATTTTTTTCGAGGAGTGTAGTTTTCACTATTTATCTACAAGTAAGCTACGTGATCTTCGTATGGCTCGGAATTTGAATCATCATTGTCAGAAAAAAAATGCAAGCGCAATAAACACCAAATTTCACAATTTCACTACATCAATGACGTTGGTTTTGTTTTTTTCTTCCCAGAGTATTGCATATGATGGTGCATGATTACTTTTGCCGTTCTCCAACGAGTGAGCAGTAGTCAGTCGACAATTGAATAGTATAAAAATAGTGTAGACAGATAAACGTAAGTACAACTTCATTTCTTTCATTTTTCTCTTTTATTTTATAGAGGATTAAAATAATACTTTTTCAAATAAAATTACATATTCCATATTAGAGATTAGTTTTCGTAAGAATTCCGAAATGATATTTCTAAATATTTTAACAATCATTGATCTTCTATTCAAGTTTCCAAAACAGAGATCTCAAAACATTGAATGAACTGTTTTTATGTTCGAATCGAAGTACATGTAGGAAAAATATTCGAAATTGGTAATAATAAACTTCATTTTCTCACATTCAGTAAATACATAAACAAAATCTAGAGTAAATATTGCATCAGAATTGATGCTTCAGAATAACAAAAAAAAATTTCATTGGCCCATACTAAGATGCTTGGAGAAAGAGTTTGAGTTGCGCACAGCGTCATCTATATCATTGGTACATATGTACAAGGACCTGATTAGATCAAAACACTTTTAGTGAGTCTCTTAGTAATACTCATGCCAAACATACATGTCTCTCATTTTCTTTATTGAATTTTTCGTGATTGTCTAAAATCTTATATATAGTATTCAATATGGCTTTACACTTCAACGATGATACTAATCGCTCATCGTTTCCAATGTATTTTGGTCGTCAAACGAAATTTGGTGATGCTGCTTCTACGCCATTACAATTGATTAAATTGCATGTCGAACAGCAAGTGAATGCAACATTTCCACTTATACATCAAGTAGCAACAACAATGACATTTAAAAATAATTATAATCGAATATTAGAAGGGGCTTTAGAATTTACACTACCTGAAAAAGCAACAATTTGTGGATTTGGTGAGTTAAATAAATAAAATAACGAGTTAATTTATGAATGATATCGATAGTAAATGAAGCATAGATTGAATATGATTGAATTGATGATCAATAAAAATTGACATTTTTTTTTTAATTATAGGTCTTGATGTTGATGGTGTTATCGTTGATGGTGTTGTTGTTGAAAAAGAAAAAGCTCGTATTACATTTGAAAAAGAAGTTCGAAAAGGTGTCGATCCTGGATTAGTAGAAAAAGTTCAAGGAAATATATTTCGTACAAGAGTTTATCCAATACAACCTGGTGGCAAACGAATAGTACGTGTCATTTATCAAGATCAAGCACAAATTGAAAATGATCATTTTCTCTTTCATATTCCTATCTATTTTACTAATATTCTCGAAAATTTGGATATTTCATTGATTTGTGCACATACATCAAATCATCGTCAACCAGAATTTCTTCCAAATATTAAATTTAATCAACCTTTTATCAATTTAAATGGCAAATATTATTCTGAACTTCATCTTGTCAATGTTGAACCATCGCAAGATGAACAATCTATTACATACATGTTAAGAACTTTAGTAGCAGAACAAGTTATGTATGGCGTAGAAATTGATCCTGATGATCATAGTCAAGCCTATTTTGCTCTATGTTATATGCCACCATTTCCACAATACAATAAAATCATAACTACTAATCAACAAACAATATCTATTTGTATACTATGGGATGCTAGTTTAAGTCGAGCAAATATTGAAAATCGTAATCATGAAATAAATATACTCAAGAATATGTTAGATATTTGGCAATCAAATGATATTAATGTAAATATAACTGTAATTATATTTCGAAATGTACTTGAAGAACCAAATACATTTCAATTATATGATAAAAATTATTGGTCAAAACTCAATCAATTATTAACTAATCTATCCTATGATGGTGCAACAAATCTATTTCAATTAGCTACAATTTCAACTAGTATACCAAATGTTACACACTACTTTTTATTTAGTGATTGTCTTTCGACAATAGGTAATGATGATCCAACATTGTTGAGTCAATTGACAACTAAACCAATATGGATATTTAATGCAAATAGTGAATATGAACCGACAAATTTTTCATTGATTAACTATTTAACTAATATCAGTGGTGGTAATTATATTTCACGTGATAAAATTATGGCTCAAAATAGTGCAAAAATTATTGTTGAATTGATTGATAAACCACAATCTCGATATATTAATACAGATATTATCAATGATACTAATGTTCATGATATTTATCCAAGTCATCCAATTATTTTAACATCAAATTCAGAAAGATTCATACTCGTTGGAAAAATGTCATCAACAGTATCAACTAAAATTTCTATTAATTTTTCTATCTTAAATCAAATACATTGTAAAGAACTAACAATAGATAAAGTAGATTTGACATCTGAAAATTATGGATTATTACGTCGTTTATATGCAAAACAAATGTTAATTGAATTAACAGCATTTCCAGAAAAAAATAAACAACGTATTTTAGAAATTGGTATGAAATATTCTATTGTGAATGATTTCACATCTATACTTGTCTTAGAAACATTACAACAACATATTGAACATAATATATGTCCACATCCATCACGTAAAACATTATACAATGATTATATAAAGTATCAACAAAATAAAACACAGCAAGAATCAACAAAAAGTCAAGCCAAACTAACAGCTATCTTAAATCTATGGCAAACACGTTGTACATGGTACGACAGAACAATAACGAATAAAGATCGCACAAATGCAGTCAAAAGAAAAAGAATTTCTAGTCCACGTAATACAGGTGTACATTATGTAACACTATCACGAGCTCGATCAAATCGTGATACGCACAGGGAATATTTTTCAGAAAGACGACGCAAGGACATTCACGAATTGGAATCCATGAGTTTCGATCAAGTTCTTCGATCAGAGAGATTATCACCGTTAGAATCCGTCTCCTTCGAACCGGGAAATGATGCACAATTATTTGACGACGAAGATGAATTTTTCGCTGATAATAGGCCTATTACTCCTAATCGTAGCAATATTATTACTAATACTCATTCAATCACTCTTCAAAATTGGGATCCACAAACACCTTACATGGACAAAATTAAATCAACTACTAATTCGCAAACAGCTTATCAAATTTATTTAGATGAACGTCAATCATATTTGAAATCACCATCATTCTATTTTGATATAGCATCTTATTTTTTTTCAAAAGCTCGTTCATCAATGTCGAATCCATCATCAATTGATATATTTAATAAACATCATTCAATTTCCATTTTTGGTATCGAAAATTTTTCACAGGATACTCATCGTAATAGTGATAATGATAATTATGAATTATTAGGTTTACGTATTTTAACAAATGTATTAGAACTAGAATTAGAATCACCACAATTATTACGAACTGTTGCTTATAAACTTGTTGAATTTGGTCTTCTTAATTTAGCTGAAAATATTTTTCGACATATTGTAACTTTAAGATCAGATGAACCACAATCATTTCGAGATCTAGCATTATTATTACAAGAATCTAATATTCAAAATAAGAATATAATAGAAATATCAGATCTATTTAAGAAAGTTATATTTGGTAAATGGGATAATCGTTTTACTGAAATTGAACTTACAACATTACATGAATTTAATTGGTTTATATGTGAATATCATCAACAAAATCAAATATCAAATTCAATTGATAATCGTCTTATTCGACATTTACCTGTTGATTTAAGGATCGTTATGGTTTGGGATACAAATGATACAGATGTTGATTTACATGTTATTGAACCGACAGGTGAAGAATGTTATTATTCTCATAAAAATACAGCTATTGGTGGTATGATAAGTCGTGATTTTACACAAGGGTATGGACCAGAAGAATATCTAATTCGAAAAGCGATCAAAGGTACATATACAGTTCGAGCAAAATATTTTGCTAATCATCAACAAAGTCTAACTGGTGCAACGACAATCATGGTGCATATCTATAAGTATTATGGTCAATCGAATCAACAAAAAGAAATTGTAACGCTACGATTAAGTAGTAATCAAGAAATGATCGATATTTGTAAAGTGGAATTTGATGATGACGTCGAACAAAAATCAAAAAATAAAGCAACATATGATCAAGACTCGAATATGACTATTCATTCAAATGTTATTTGTGATGGATGTGATATGTCACCAATCAAAGGAGATCGTTATAGATGTTTATTTTGTCCAGATATTGACTTTTGTCAATCATGTAAGTCGGCAAGTAAAACAAATTATGAGACGAATCATCAGTACAATCATACCTTATTATGTATTAAAGATTCAAGTGAATATTCAGAGTCATTTTATTTAAAGAATCGTACTGATATCGATCATGCAAATATTCAATGCAATTCATGTTTTATAAAGCCAATAATAGGTATTCGTTATCAGTGTAATTGTGGAATAAATTTATGTGAAAAATGTGAATTTACGGGTTTACATGATCAAAGTCATCATCGTACAAAAATAATTGATCCAATTTAACTTTTGTCTTGACATATGTTTATCAAGTTGACTTCTATTCAATAATTTTTTTTCGTTTTATACGAAAATCATTTTATTACTTGAATAAATATATTTTTCGAAAAACTTTTAAATAGATTCAAACTTTCGATTTTTATAGTGCTTCGTTCTCAATTAAAATTGAACTATATGTGGAATAGTTTTCCGTAGTAAGATCGCATAGTGTAGTTCAAATAAACTTCATTGTGGTACTACGAAATATTCCAGTGATTTCGATTATTCAGTTATTTCAAAGTACTGCCGATATCATAGATGATCACTAACATTTTCTTAGGCTGTTGTGTGAAGAGTGAAGACTTATTAAGGATCAATAGAACTGTATATTGGTGTCGTGTCAGATGAACTCGATCCATCAATCACTGTTGGATACATGTCTATCTGAAAAATAAAACGGATTCGAAATATAAGAATTCTAACGCGTTAATTCATTATTCTTTCATGTTGGACAAATCAATTGAAATTCAAAAAGTATAAGTCACACAACGAGGGTGTTGATCTGTTGGCAGAATTCCGAAGTCAACACTTCCAATAAAAGGGACCTACACCCATCCATGTATAACTAAAATTCAGGTTTTTTCTCTTTCAGACATTCAAATATAATTTGCATAGAAATGTATGTAAAAGAATTCTGATTAATTTTTCCTACATATTTCTTCAAGATGTGTCCTTAAAATATCGATTTTGACTGAAATTCTGTTCAGTGTGGATCTACTCTTTAATCACCCCAACACCCACACCCTTATTGACAACGTTAACATGATTTCCAATGTCAATAATTATACTGCTTCTTAGAATTACCAGATATAAGATTGAAGCTTTTTGAATAGTAAGCAATAATTTCGTAATACAATTTAAATGCTTCATAATTGAAAATCATGTTAACATTGACGGATAACTCGTTTTTTCCACAGTCATTTTAGCCTAAATTTTCCACATGATTTATCAACTTTTTAAAAACTCAGTCCAGATCACTTGTTTTTCTTATCGATCTAAGAGTGAGAAAATTGATTTCAAAATTTTGAACATTTCATGAACCGAAAATAATGTAACACATAAGACATGCAATACCAGTAACCAGTGAACAATAACTGATCACTCCTACGAAAGAATGAACGGATACTTGAGAATATTTCCTCGTAAGTCTTCTCTCTAACGATACTTTTCTTCAAACAGTTTATTCTCGATCCAAATCAATGAGTACGAATGACATGTAAGATTTATGAAGTATTTCTTTTATCGATTATTATGTTTACAAGATTTTTCTTCGACGGAAAATATTGATTAAAGAATGAATTGTTAGACATAAAAAACTTATTACCTTCTCTAATTGTTTCATTTTTTTTCTGCTTTCAGTAAACATTCAACTGGTAATGCTTGTTTGCATAGTTCAACTAAAGAAAATATTTAGCTTTCTTGTAACCATTTCATTACTTATTCTTCTAGTTTTCTTTTGCATTAAAATACTCGAGAAAAACAAGGACTGAAATAAATCAAGATTCATTTCAATCGTAATTATGTCAAGTAATAAAGATAAGATGATAGGAAAGTTCATTTATATTGAATAATAAATGCGTGCTACAACTAATTCATTGATTGGCGTTTTATAAAAGAAAACTTTCCATTGAGCATCTATATGAAATATATTTTTGTTTTTAAAAATAATGTCGATTCTAATTCTATTAAACTACTAGGAATGGAAAACGATAAGATTAAACATCGTCCGGTATTAGTAAAATACGCTCTCACCAACTCCCATCCACTCTGACCCAGATCTTAACAACAAGAATAACATTCAATAATAAACACAATTATCGAAGGGGTTCGATATATTTGAACGTATTGTACTTAGAATTATGTTCCTCGCAGTTCTTCAATAAGCATTTCGCTCTCTTTTCTTGAAAACAAACTTGCCATATATCTCATCAACGAAAGAATATAGGTGAAAATATCACCGGACTCACGTATCTCCACTTCAGATTCACCCAGAAACTTGTTCCAACTACAAGTAGATGTACTCTATTCAACAGTATGCTCAGAATTACCATAATCCGAATTATAATTTTCAAGTTTTGTACAGCATCATCTATGGTTTCAAAAATCATATTTTGAGCTTTGCTAAATCTGAATATACTGTTGGATAGAGTTCATCTAGTTGTAGCTGAAACAAATTTCTGGGTGTATCTGAAGTGGAGATACGTGAGTCCGGTGATATCTATATTCTTTCATTGATGAGATATATGGCAAGATTTTTTTCAAGAAAAGAGAGCGAAATGCTTATTGAAGAACTGCGAGGAACATAATTCTAAGTTCAATACGTTCGAATATATCAAACCCCTTCGATAATTGTGTTTATTGTTGAATGTTATTCTTATTGTTAAGATCTGGGTCAGAGTGGACTGATAAAAATGATATTTGATTCTTTTGTCTAAGACTCTCTGAAGGAAATGGATCAGAGTGAGGTTTCTTGAATGAAAAATTTTATGCTCTATCTGTTGATACTACCTTTGAATCAAACAGTGGTGAGAGCGGGTGAGAGCGTATTTTACTAATACCCATTAATTTTTGATAAATGTAAATAATATTTTATGTATTATCAATACGTTGACAATTTCATATGGTAATATATCTCGATAAGAAAATAGATTATTTTAAAAATTTCTATAACACGAAACATAGAGATAAGAGATCCAGGGCTGGCCCGAACCATGGAAAGTTGGGGGGTGTTCGAAAATTTTTTTTTGTAGCTTTAGTAAAAAATCTTTTTTTTATCGTCACAAATGTAGTAGGTGTTTAGATAAGACTTTTGACGAAAACCGAAAAAAATTCCATCGCGCCTCTGCAGAGAAAAAAGAAAAACTTTTCAAAAGTTGGGGGGGCGTCGGGCCAGCCCTAAAGAGATCATAGAGAAAAGAAAATGATTTCTTATCATTTTATATGCGGTAGTGCAATTGCAAGTACACAAATAACTTATGCAAGATGAGACAGTTATATATTTTTCGTGTAGCTCTATTTACTGCAAATTGGTTCAAGATTACAGCTTATCGAAAGAATATCTCTCAAAATGAAATGATTACTAAAATTCGACAGCCAAAATCATTGTTTGATATGATTTTCGATAAAGATTTTTATGTTCGACATGAATATAACCCTGCTTTAGCCATTCGGCAACGGGAAATATATGTACACAAGTAGCACATGATGATAAATACATATCAAAAGAATATAAGAGAAAGAAAATGTTTACATGCACGGTGGGGCTACGGAATATCTCGAGAAAAAGCGAGAGCAATCGTATGATTTGATCCAGTAGACGAAGCTTAAAATACATCAAGATTTTGAGCCTTTTGATAAGTTGCATAATTTCGAGATATCCAGCGAGTTTTTCTCATACAGTTAAAACTTTTGGTGTATGTATATCATTTAAGGAAACGACAGTTAGTATTGAGTGAGAAAATTTGTATTTAATCAATCTTAGAGATCTAACCATGATTTCTGTATGAGCCTAGCAAGGTACCATAGTCAATCATGTATTCAACGTAGAAGAACAGATGATGTTTTTCATAATAAATAGAAATAAGATAATTATGACAAGGACAATACCAGAGATTGTTGTAAACATCTATTTATTGTTGTCATCATTGTTTTATGAGAATATCCAAAATATTGATGAACAATGCTCTAAGATAATTGGAATATAATAAAAGCCAATGGCATTAACCATATGCTTTTCTTCATTTTTAAACTATCTACAAAAATTTTATCGTAGAGATCGAGCGGATCATAACTTTGTCTCATTCATCACAATCCGTGATGCATCCAAATGGCAATATATCAAAAAAAACATGCAAAGAAAAAAAGGCAAGTTTTTTGGACTCAACATTTCAGATTCAAAATTCGATATTTTGCCTTTAGAATAAGAGAACTACATGACAGAGTTGTATTCAATAGGTGACGGAGTAGACGATCGAAATTTAGATTTCATAAGATTTTTTATATTACACAATATGAATTTTCAAGGTTATCTATTTCGAACTGCTTACAAGATTCTCTACCACTCTGCTCGACATTTAAATAGCAAATGTTGATTTCAAATGTTAAACCAAAAATGAATTCTATACCAAGCATTAACATATAATACCGTTAAAATGCATATACTATGAAATGTGAAAGATGACGCAATAAGTAGGTCAACCTGTCGCGCACCCTTCATTTTCAGAAATAACCCATTTAGTGAGTAATAGAATCAACATTACTGCATCAGAATTATTCTTCTATGTACCAGCATAACAACCACCTGTAAAAAGTGATTCATTCTTGTACACGTCTGTTGCTCTCTCTTGAAAGAAACAGAATTCAAAAGGAAGAAAGAACTGACTCATCTACATAGGAGTATAAAAATTGAGATGCAATTCACTTTCTATGTAAATCTTGAATTTTTTATAAACAATTATCAATGCCAGAAATGTTAATTGACAATAATAATATCTCAACACAAGATTCGGCACCTTGCCCAATCTACACGTGTCAAATGTAAGTTTCTACAAAGTAACTGTCTTTATAATGATAGAATTCTTTTTCTGAACTGCTGAGCGAGAGAGAGAGCAAAGAGATATTTAAAGAGGAAAAATTAAAAAAATGTTATGATTATTCTTGATATGTTGAATAGTTGAGACAATTTCAATATTTCAAAATATATTGAAATTATTTTTCACATGTAGATCAAACAAGAATGAAATAAAAGTCGAACAATCATGTACCGTATGTATGGAATCAAAACCATGTATAGATTTTGAAACACAATACAATAGTGACTGTACACATTCAACTCGAACAATCTGTAATAGTTGTACGTATGAATATTTGCGTAATAATTGGAATATTGGCTCCGAAATTTCTTGTCCAGAATGTTCTATTCCTTTATCTCATAATGCCATTAAATTGATTCTCTTCGAGAATGGTGATATTACTCTCTACAACCGTTATATACAATTTGAACTTAATAGAATTCTTGAACAAAATCTCGAATTTGTTTGGTGTTCACATGGTTGTGGTTCGGGTCAATTGAATGAAGGTGCAACAATGAATAATACTATTGAATGTGTTAATTGTCATAAATTAACTTGTTTCACACATAAATGTCCATGGCATGATGGAATGACATGCGAAGAATATGATATGCCTCGAACTAATGGACAATTACATGCTAGTGAACGTTGGATCAAAGTGCATACTAAAGAATGTCCCACATGTCACTCTCATATTGAGAAAAGTGAAGGTTGTGATCATATGACTTGTTTGAAATGTAAGCACGAATTCTGTTGGGAATGTTTAGTTCCTTATTCAAGTATCAAAAGGCATGGTGCTTACTTACATGATCGTAAATGTAAACATTATCCTGCTACAGAGACACGAAATCTTTTCAAGCGTTTTATTGATCTCTTCTAGAACTCATTGTTTGTTTGTTTGTTTTTCATTCGAATATGTTGAATGAATCAAAAATGAGTGAATTGTATTCATACTAATCTCATTAATTCACTAGATATATAGTGGTAAAAACGATTCAAAACAAATGGTGCAAGAGAGATGTATAAAAATACCCATTGAATCTATTGAAAGAAGACTCATTAATAATTGTTCAATGGCAAAAAAATCTGTATTCTGTACAAGTCATATTATAATTTTTTTTAAATATATTCTTTTCAATTGTTAAATTTGGATGTGGGTGTTGTTTTCCAGAATGGAGATCATTTTTACACCAGTGGCGAAAAAATTTTACAACAAATTGATACATCTGTCAAGATATTAGGATCAATTCATTGGGGTCAAAAAGCAGAGCATTTTGAAGGGTTGCGTCTACAATGCCATCAAGAAGTACAAAGAAATTAGTGTATTAGTGGAAGAAAAAAACGCTCTGCACTACCACGCCTTGTCCAAGGTAATAATCGAATCGAAAGATTTGAATCAGTCTTCACGTAAACCGGCCACTCGAAGGACAGTTTTCAATTAACTGAAAAAATTGGGTTACGAATATAAGATAAACTTCATGAGATAGTAACTTATTGTAAAGCATCATAAGCGAAGAATAGTCTGATGTAGAAGCATCGCTATTTTACCATGAACAATGTTGGGAAAACGTCATTTTTTCCAACTAGTGAGAACATTTTACGCACATCAACGAAAAAATCAAATGAGGATATGGAGAACTAATGAAGAATGACTTCATTTGGATTCTATCCAGCAAGTAAATGTTAGAAGAAATAGAGACAACGTAGGCATCTCGGGACAAAGAACAACGAAATGAAAAATACGAGTAAATCTACTGAAATATTTTGAATGACGAACTGAAGCGATCGATGACAAACTTCATGAGAAGGTGAAAATACTTTACGAGCAAAATCTTGCTCCATGGCATATATAGAACACTGAGAAAGATAAAATTATCAGAATAAGGCTAAGAGCGTTATCATTCGCAAGAACAAGGCAACCCTTGGTAAACGTCTTGAGCAAGAGTGAAAACGAATCGATATTGAAATGTACATATGTCATTCAATTGATTATTTATTCATTCATTGATCATCATTTTAGATTATAGAAAAATGTTTCATTATTTTAAATGATATCAATCAAAATGAACACATAAGTATGTGAATATTAATATTGATCCCTATTAAATAAACAAGATAGATATATAGAATGCCATGTCTTTTACTTCTATTTTCCTTATTATCTTGAGTATTCAACTTTAGTTTTTTTTTCGAAACTTTTCAAAACTAGATCAATTTAAGACATTTGAGGCAATTAAATTTTGTTGGGGGAGTAACTCTGAAATTTCCTCATATGTCCATGGACCTTTCGATAAAAACACTTATTGACCTCTTAACTCTACACTGCCACTCGTTTTTCTTTTTCCTATTTGTATTGTTACATGCAAAGTTTTCTTGCTTGTCGAACTGAATAACTACTGAAGTTATTGTTCTCTGTATCTTATTTAATGTACAGTAAGGATAAAATCAAAAAATTGAAATTTCGACTTTTTTCTTTTCTATTCTTGTCATAACTATCTCTTAGAGTGCTTTTACTCGTGTGTACAAAAGTTCAGTCCATGTAAACCAGAATCGAATCATCAAGAGCGTGTTCAATTTATTATATGCGTTAGGAGTAAAAGTTTAATGATTTTTACGTAATTTTCATTGAAAAATATTCAATTCTCGATATTTTGCGAAAAGTCCTAAAATAAGCCGTTTGACCGAGGTAATCTTGACAAGATCGTATCTCAAGAATGGCTCCATCGATTGAACTGAAAGTTATGGTGAACCAATATAGCAATGAGTTCTATTTACGAGAAAAAGTTTATCTGTTCTGTGCATATTGGACTCTTGATGTTTTTCTGGATTACTCACTATAGTCAAAAACTCATAATTTAGACCATTTTAGAGGTTGATATCTGACAGCTAGAAGAAGATAATAACCTGAAATTTGTACCGGATCTAGAATTCGTAGAGCTGTATATGCATTGAAGATTTCAAATCTGCACCTTGGCCCTTTCGGCTAGTAGAATCCTTGCAAAAATGTTATTTAATTCAACATAAGTTCGAATTTGAACATTTATGGATAATTTTCCATAAAAACAGTTCATCTGTAGAAACCTATTCGTAACTTCATTATTTCCAAATTCAATTTCTTCATTCACGATTCTATTTCCTGAAACGCCATTCTTACAACATAGTTCACCCACAAAATAGTGGGTGTGGATGTGAGAGTGATCTTGATAGGCTCACACCCACACCCTAATATGAAAGCATTTAGAATATTCATTTTCTGTAAGCGATCTACTTGTCTTTGTTTATATTATTCCAGTACTTATTGAATATTTGACAATCACATTTTGACTTGTGGAATTTGAAGAACTGATCTGTTTGAAGTAACCTCTATGAGAGAAATGGTGAATGCAAGGGTTTGACTGCTTGTTTTACTCACACTGTGGTGATTGATGAATATTAATGTTTCCGAGAGTAGTGAGGTAAATACTTAAAATGACGCAATTTCATCAGTGAAAGTATTCTTTTCATGCAAAAATAGTGCATGCTTTCAAATATAAAGTATATTTTTCCATCAGATCAGATAGTTTAACGATAAATAAGATCACCCTCCAACTCCAACTCATTCAGATCTTTTCAAATATACTGCATTTTGTTACACACAACGTAGTTTCTTATATCACGACACAATCTCTGTTTAGCAGACAACTGATGTAAAACTAATATTTTTTGTATGCTTAATTTTCACAAACTTATCATAATGATAATATTACCTGTGAATAAAAATATTTCATTCAGTATGATGATGTACTAACTTCTGAATGATATTGATAAAATTTCTTTACATAGATAATGAGATTAGATGATGATGAACCTTATTCAAAATTTTCTAAATGACAATAAGCAGAATTCGGATTTTCTCTCATATGAGTTCAAACGTTGAGACAATCATTTAATTATAATTTCTATGTATTAACAACGAGATTGAATGTATTCTATCGAATGAAAGTGTTCGAATTGATAGGAAATTATGCTTGCTTTGCTTTGAAAATCTTAAATCAAACTGTAAAATATTATCTTTCAATTAACCATTGAATATCTTAGAAGAATTAGCCAATCACTTTTCAAACCTATCTCATGTTTAATCTTCAGTAGCATTATAACATACAGGACTACGTAAATACATGTATGAACCACTGCAATGTTACTCAACTCGAATATCGATACAACGACAGAACGAGTATTATACTTCACAACAGGATGTTATTCATTTAACAAAGTAGTCGATCGTTTTCTGATATTTATTATCAATACTCATTTTCAGAAACCATGACTATGGTGTTCGATTGATTTAGTTGAAAATCATAATTCGATGATTAATTATTATACGCTTGCTGTTCGATCATTGAATGATGAAAAATCATAAAATGCTCTTCTATGTTTTCAGAAAGAAATGTTTACTAATGTGTCTTCAAAATAAAATTTGCTCAATACTTGAATGAAATTACAAAAAGATTGTTTTTATTTGTTTATTTCATCAAATATACACAATTAGTACAAAAAAAAGAAAGAAACGACTACTCACATGGACTTAAAAGATATACGATAGATTCAAGTCGTCAACAAATTACATATAGGATATTGAAGCTGACGTTTATTTGATTAGTCTTCATCGCTCTCATGACTAAGCATCAAACACGTATATAATTAAGGTTTAAGTTCAGGACTTCTGTGCCATGGTATAGTGAAGTTCAGGACTATCGTCATTGCTCATATTATTGTCTTCTGTTTCGTAGTCGAATTCAAAATTTTTATTGTTGTTCCCACCACCCTCGACTACTACGTAGTCAAGCTCAAGATTTGGTTTGGGAGGCGGACAATACCGAATTATTATGTGGTCAAGCTCAGGATTTGGATTGCGGGGCGGACATTCGCGAATTATTATGTGGTCAAGCTCAGGCTTCTCATTCAAGTTGTTTGGAGAAAGTGACTTACAAGGCATTGGTGCGTATTGAAGCCCATGTTGAGCTCCGGATTTTGGCATAGGTTTAGCATTGGCTGCAAATTGAAGATGATGATATTTTCTTTTATTTATCTTTGCAATATTATTTCTGGTCACAACAATATCTTTATGATCAGGCGGAAGTATTTTTTGTTTTATATTCAATGATTGTTCATAATACTTTAATGCGTGATCAAGTTTATTCAATTTGTGATAAACAACTGCAATATTGTTCAATGTCATAGCAGTATCAGTATGATAGAATGGTAAATGTTGTTGTTGAATTTTTAGAACTTTTTGATAATATTCCAATGCATGCTTATACTTTCGAGTTTCTGTATATATATTACCAATATTCATAAGTATTTTGGTTGATTTTATATGTTCTCTTCCATAATATGTATTATATATTTCTAAAGATTTCATATATAATTCATATGCACGATCGTATTGACCTTTTCGATGATAAATAAGACCTATGTTTGTCAATGGTTTTGCTGAATCTTTCATTCTTATCGATTTATCATTCATCATTAAGTTATAAGCCAATTCACAATATTGAAGTGCTTGCTTAAAATCATCTTTATCATAATAGATTGTTCCAATTAGATTATTAATTTTTGCAATATCATCCTTTTTTGTATGATCATCAAGTAATAAATTTTGAAAATATTTTAATGCTTGATCATATTGTCCCATATCAGCTAATAATTTACCAAATATAAGTTCAATGCTTGTTTCTTCTTCTTCTTTTCTATTAAGTTCAATATATTCTTTAGCAATTTTTGTTCCTTTATTACTAGTTCTTAATTTAATTAACCATAGATTTAATTGAAAATCTTCTTTAACAGAAATGATTTCGAATGTTGATCCAAGATCAAATAAAACTTCTGATTCATTTGCATAAACACTTAATTCTGTAATATCAGCAAAAATAATCGAGTCTAATTCTTGTATATAACATTCAATTTCATATAGAATTGAAACAATATTTGAACGTTTAGATGGTTTTTTAACAAATTTAAGTGCAACATTTTTTGAACGACTTGCTGATAGAAAACCATTTGTTGATATTAAACCACCTTCATTTTGTTTTAAATTTTTTAATTCTTCTTCTTCCATTTTTAGTCCACGATAAAGTATAAGAATTTTTTCACCTTTATTTTTCAATTTTTCATATTCAATTGCAAGATTAAATGATAAATCAGCAATAAAAAATCGAAATATACGTAATTGTTCAATATCTTCAGTTCTCAATGCTTTGTTTACTATTTTAAAGAGAAAAGTTTCTTTCGTATACCATTTAATAGCCATATTTGATTTATAATCATGTTCAAATTCATGAATAAATTTTAATTCTTTTTCATTTCCACGATAATAATATTGACAAAATTCAATCATTTGTTGTTTTGCATAATTATCTCTTGGTAATCTCAAAATGATATCTTTAAATATTTGAAACCATAAAAATTCAGCTGATTCTTTTGATAAATCTCTTGTAGATTTTTGTTTATGTTGATTATAGAAATTAAATGTTTCTAAATGTTTTTCAACAAGAATAATATTTTCTTTAAGAGAATTAAGTAATTCATGACGTTTTGTATAAATTCCAATTAGTTTAGTATATGTTTGTAATAGAGATTGATATTTTTCAGGTTTGAAACAAAAAATAAATATTGAATCAATTTGTTTTAATTCATGAACTCTTATTAAAATATCTAAAGCATCTCTTCCAGATGTAACAAGAAATATTTTTTCATTTGTAATTGATTCAATATAATCACTACAAGTTTTTAAATCAATATGAAATACGATAAAATTATTGATTTCATGTAATTCTTTCATTGTTACTTTCGTATCCTTAGTTTTATCAATATTTGAATCATACCAAATTAATCTAGTACTTTCTAGATTTTGTTGTAGATTCAAATCTTTAGCTGCCGATGCTAGTGAATATATAAGATCTAGTATATTTGAGAAGTAATAAAATGTAGACTTACCGACGGCTGTAGTTGTTGCTGAAGAGAAACCAGCGTGAAATTGTTGTTTTGGTTCTGTGCTCATAATAGTTCTTAAAAAGAAAAGTGCATACTTCCTATTGAATAATGAAATAAGTTTATATACTAGGTATGGATGTGGAATGTGTCTCTTGTATTCTATGTGAAATAAGTTCACACATACGCATGTGCACATTGTCACTTGTACCATTCGTAAAACTCGATTTCTATACATCATACTCTTGTTTCAGTATTTAAAAACTTATAACTACAGTTGCGACAAAGAATATTCGTACGATTTCTTTAGTCAAAATACAGACTTTTAAAGACTTGATGAATATAAAAAGAATCATCATGTCTTCTAGTATTTACAATATAAAAATTATGCCTGTTTTAGTGGCAAAAATTATTCATACAATTTCAAGAACGATGACATTTCTTAACTCTCATTGATGTCATTTAAACATGCGATTTATCATCTCGTTCTCTCTGAAATTCATAACATTAATGATTGAACTTTTCTTTATGATGTTAAACTATTTCGCTTGCTCGCTGGGCTATGCTTACCTTAACATGTGCCCCTTCTTCTATCATTCTCGTTATGAGACGAAATTTCAAAATTATTTTGAAAAAATTTCAACTTACGATGTTCTCATAGAAATGTCTCAAAACAAAGATTTTCTCTTTTCGAATAACTAACTGTACTTACTTAATTGAATTGAATTATGAAGTAAACAGTAAGCTCGTGTTTCACTTTTTCTTTCCTTTCTGTAATAACTTTATAAATAACTTCTTTTAAATCATGAATAACAAAAAATGCCACCATTCTTGCAATCGTACGAATAATTTTTGCCATAGTTGTATGTCTAAGTATTACCGTTCAGTTAAAAAATGGACTGAAAATATTCTTTCTAGTATAGTTGTAATACAACTGCTCGCAAAGCAGAAGAAGCATGGTTTGAAGATTACACTTTTTTTCCGTGCTGTCCCGCTGATAACAGCCTATAACACGACATTCTAACCACTTATTTCTACACAGTAGATAAATAATATGAGTGTATGAAATAAATCAATAAGAGTAGACATTCTTTTAATGAGACAATACAAAGCACCAACATTTTTGAAGTCAACAGGACATCGTCATCAGTGCTTTTTACCTAGGATACAGGCGATTTTTCTTTCTTCTTTTCTTTTCATTCTGATTATTGTGAAAGGGAAAGAGTAATTTCATTTTCGTATTGTTCACAATGAAAAGAAAAGAAAATAAGAAAGAAAAATTGCGTATATCATATATGAGAAGCACTAATAATGATGTCTTGCTAACTTCGAAAGCTTTGTTTATTTGCACTGTCTCAATAAAAGAATATCTGCTAGTCATTCTACTCTGTTAATAACCACATGTAGAGAAAAAATATCCAATAAATATCACCTATGGCTAAATCAAATATATACTTGCAGTATTTCGTAGACGATGGATTTCTCTAGTCAAGTGGCATATAACTATTCATTACAGTACAAGATTCTATTAAAGTAATTTCGTAAAAATGTATCGAACAATTTCAAAATATTATTCTATTCGAGAAATTGTCGTACTGTATTATGAAAATCCATATAACTGAAATAAATAGTTCTTGAAAGGAAAGTTTCTATTTAATGTTGAGAATATTCGAACTTATCTGTGATTGAAAAATACTAAAACAATGATATTTACGCCTAGAAAAAAAAGTAACTGCTGTATGTACTGATATATGAATTAAATATATTGATAAACGCCCAATGTTCTTTCATTCTTGTTTTGACAGAAATTTGAAACAATTTTTTTTCTTTTTTCGTTTTATTCTACTAAGCACAAAATATTTTAAAATAGGTAAATACTAGGTCACGATTTATTATATTCATTCGTAATTCATGTGCGAGGAAGCCTGTTGAAAGTGAAAGCATACATGTTCGATTATCAACAGAGTAGAAAGAAAATAGTGAAAATTACTTTTATGCATTTATTTTTATAAGAGAATCACAAAACATATTACAGCACAACAAAATCAAGGTCAAATAATGATGATTCATTCAAGCAAATTGAAGACAACTTTTTATGTGCCTTTATTTTACATTACAAATAAATTGATCGCCTAAAAAATATAAATTTAAGATATTTTCCTTCAAAGTTTTCTTTTTTTCTGATGATGTATGCATACAATTTTGTTATCTACAAATAGTATATTAAATCTGTGTTCGTTTATATACCTCAAAAAAGTTGAAAGGTGTGAGTCAAAATGGTGTGATTTTCATTTTACAATACTCATTGAAGTTTTTATTAAAAAATATCTAATTTTCTGTTTTATATCATGTATCTTTGTAGAAGTTTCAGTAAATTTTGAGTGTTATTAAGTTCGATTATTGTAAAAAGTCGTATTTTTCGAAACTTTTATTTGTTAAAACAGCTATGTAAACTTCCTTCTATGAAAGAAGACTTAAGATCCTAAGTCATCTAACGAGGTTTTCTTGTACATGAGGAAAGATAGAATTTGGTTTTTCCTTAAAACTTATTGTTTTCATTTTAGTTCCCTTGTTTTTTTTATTCATGTTGAGAGTGTGGATGTGGGTGAGTATAGGGATGTGCAGTTTCAATGAAAATACTGAAAATCTGACAGTTATTTACTGGCAGTGAGTACACTGAAGCACTCACTACACTGATACAGTGTACACTGGAATACCGACTTTTACTGATATAGCAAACATATCTATATCAGTAGAAGTTGGTGTTCCAGTGTACACGGTATCAGTGTAGTCAGTACTCCAGTGCACTCCACTGTCGATTACGTCAGTGATCAGTAAACTGAAACTGCACATCCCTAGGTGAGTGGGGGTGGGGTGGGCGTGGATTTTCTTAGGGTGGGGTGTGAGTGTAGGTGTGAGTGTAGATGTGGGTGTGAATGTGGGCGTGGGTCAGGGCTGCCAAATCTCCTGATTTAGCCAGGAGACTCCTGATTTTAGACTTTTCTCCTGGTGAAAAAATCTCCTGAATCCAGGAGCTGATTTTTATGATTTTCTTCTGGTTTCTCCTGGTTTTTTAAAGGATTTTGTCACGTTTAATTGTACTGATATTTTGAATCAATAAGACAAAGAAAAAGAGAACTATCACACTATTTCATAGATGCAATAGACAATAAGAAAACACGTCGTTTCTACTTGTTAGGCCTGATAACATGCGTTTATTTGTGAGCTTATCTTCTTGACGGTTAAAATGTACCTCATGGACAAAAACTAGTTTAGTTCGCTTTTTCTATATCAACCTAGAATACTATTTGTGAATTGACCTTCAGCCACATGAAATTTTTGTGGGCTCCTAATAGAAACGATTCGAAGTGCAATCTTATTGGTGCATAATTAGGAACTAAATGAATAATCATCGCTGTTATACAAAGTTCTATAATTATCTTTTAAATAATTCAAACCTATTGAAACAAACTCAGTCTTTAGAAAAATATGGCCATGTTCATAGGTGGCGAAATGTTTTGGATCTAGGGTAGGCTCAACAATTTTTTACAAGATTCGCACCAGAAAATTAAAAATATGGAGTAAGCCAATTTTTTGATACCATCTTGATGAAACAAAGTTAGTATTTCTCATTTCGAACTCGTATTTTGTAATGTATGACGCGGATAGAGATAAGAAAAGCATTTGCAACTTATGTGTCAAAAAACGTGCATTTAAGAAAACATGTCGATGATTATCTTCATTGACTTCCAACTCTCACAAGAGTTCTTTTCCATCTGCTGTGCTAAAAAATAAAATAATGTCCAAGTAGCAATGTTCACAAAAACGACATTACATTATGAATATTTTTATTGTGTTGAAAAGATCTTTTTTCTGCGGGAATATTTTTCTATACTCGTCGTTTTCTTGCTCCATTTCTTATGGCAATGGGAACTCCATTAAGTATTGGTGTTCCCGCATTTTTTCTCGTATTTACCTACATATTTGGATACATATATGTAGTAGCGTTTTATTTTTACGTAACTAACCTACTGTAGCTCCAATCATAATTATATTTTTAATTTCAAGTCGTATCACGGTTATCTTAAAATCTAAAAATAAAACAGGAATATGAATTCCTGAAGTCTTACGATTAGAAGTGTAAATCGCCGAGCTGAGTCGCCGCTGTCGGTGGGACAAAAAAACTAACAGTTTTGAAGATTTTTCGACGCCTGAGATCACTCTTCAACGATGTTTCTGTCTAGGTTTTTTGTCAGTGTGTTCTCTACCATTGTTTTCTCTTTTTTCATCCGATAATTTCGCGGAAATAAGAAAACCTTAAAGAAATCGTCCAACAAATTCACTCACCTTCGCCGACAGACTAAAAAAGTTGAGTATTTTCAGTCGCTACCGAAATAAAAAAAAAATCACACTTACACACCACCGATCTATGAACTGGTTTACGCTTCTGCTTACGGAAGTGAAAATAAATTTTTTTCCGGGAATAAGAGTGTAAGAACAAGAATAACAATTTTTTTCCGAGAAAGAGAATATACGGGCGAGAACAGCAAATTTTTTCTGAGAACAGAAAGAATAATCGAGAAAAGTTGCTCTCATAACACTAATGATCGGGTAATGTAAACTTAGTCGCTAAAAATGATGAAAGTCTTTGGCAGCTACTAGCTGATATGATTCAGGTTTTTTATGCAGTACTTCGTCACTTTTAACGAAAGAACTTCACTTTAAACCATGGCTGACCCAAAATTTGAGATTTATCCACACAAAACTAAAAGTTTTCTCAAAAACACTTTCTAGGTCTATTTCAATAAATGTTACTATTTGTTGTCGATAGCGACAAAAAATCTTGACGCCTGTTCAAATTTTTTATGTACTGCACAAACCTATCAATTTAACGTAGTAGAAAACAATTATTTAAGCGTACCATAGTCTATGGAATCTGAACCTAAGATAGGCTTTAGTCTACTCAAGCCGTGTGATTCCATCATCTACGAATAGACGCTATCTAAGCCTTCATTTATTCCATCCACGAGTCTACCTAAGCCTTTAGCCGTCCAACCTAGAATAGGCTCGAGCATACTCAGGACTTGTGACCCCTTCGTTCATGGTCATGTTACAAAAGTGACATGAACGATATAGTTAATAAATTATTGTTCATGTATGCCTATTTTGTTTAGTTACATATTAATGTCTAATTAAACTTCATTTTCTATTTTGTCGGTATATTTTGATAAACCAGTGTGAAATGAGTAGTAAAATAAATTCCACATAATTATGTTTTTTTAAAAATATATATCACTTAGAGGAAATTTTGTCATCAGTAACTTAGTAGAAGAACATAACGAGTGATTAGACGAACGAAAACTTCAGTTTTCTTTGAGAGAAGACCACTAATTCATTTTCTGATTTCAATAAACATCTGATTTTTCTCCTGATTTTTCAGTAAAAATTCCCTGGTAAACTCCTGATTTTTCGCAAAAAACTCCTGATTTTTGAAATTTGGATTTGGCAGCCCTGGCGTGGGTGTGAGTACGTAGGTGTGGATGTGGGTGGGATATGGTTGTCGGAAAGGGTAAGGACGGCACCCACACCCTTATTTAAGATGCAATCAGAATGTTTAAAAAAAAATAATTAATATAAAAATTTTTTTTTTCAGTCATATTTACTAAACATAAGCTACATATACAAAAAGAGAGCATTTATGAATATATTTTTTGTAAAATATCTGCTGCTTTTTCTGCTAAAGCGTGAACTGTTAAAAAAGGACCAGTTTTTGTAGAAAACTTTCTTGGAAATATAGACGCATCAACTATTCGAAGATTGCTTATTCCATGAACTTTAAACAGATTATCAACCACTGAATTTTCTGCATTTTGACCTATTGAACATGTACCAATAAAATGATAGCTTGGAACTAATGTATTCTTAATATACGCTGTTAAATCTGTTTGTTCTAATCCTGGTAAACTTTCAGTTAAATTAGCATATTGTTTAATTGTATTTGTTGACATAATTTTACGAACATAATTAATAGCATTAATAAATGTTTGAATATCCTTAGAATCTGTTAAATAATCTAAAATTATTTTTGGTGGTATCAATGGATTAGAATTATATAATGATATAAAACCAACCGTTGATTTCGGTGAAGTATTAAATATAAATACATATAAATGCATTGTATTATTATCTTGTTTTAAAATAATAAATGTATCAGGATTGCTATGATTTGTACGTAATTGAGTATTAATCAAAGCAACTGGTATTGATTGACCAATGGAAAAATTTTGTGTTTGATATTTAATAATTATCATTCCATTTTCTATTAGATTTTTTCCTACTTGTTTTAATTCATGTTTTACTAGTATATTATTTTCTCGAAGAATATTTCTATCACCAATACCAGATAACATTAGAAGATGTGGACTAAAGATTGTACCAGCAGATAAAATATATTCTTTTCTTGCAATACCAGTAAATAATCCATCTTTTGAGATAAATAAAACATTTTTTATTTGTTTAGTTTGTTCATTCATATTGAATTTGATTGCAGTAGCACCTGTTAATACTTTAAGATTTGGATATTTATTTAAAGTAGATGTTAAATAATTATTACAACTCCAACTTCTTATTCCATTTGTAAATGAAGATGCCTCAAATGAAAAGCCATAATCAATTGTATTTGCTAAAGTATCAGTAAATGTTTCATTTAATTCTTTAGCAACTTTTTTCCATATTTTATTGAATATAGGATCATAAACTTGAGTTATTTTAAGAAAACCATGATTACCATAATTATTTAAGATTGAAAAAGGTTTAGTTGATGTAAAGTTTTCAACCATTTTATAAAATTTTGACATAGTGTTTATATGAAATGATTGATCACCAGTAGCATTAATAAAATAATTCCAATCATTTGCCATTAGTCGTTCTATTCCACCACCATTAATACTGTTTCCCCCAAGAGTATTCCATACTATAATATCTAAAATTCGATCATTAAGATTTGCTGATGAACTTGCAGGAAGATAATGTTTAAACTGTGGATTAAGAAATAATTGATTAAATAAAGATTTTTCTCTCATCATTGAGTTTAATGTATCATTTGAACCACTGGACAATAGTAGAGTTTCAAAACCATATTCAGCTAATCTCGCAGATATAACACATCCAGCTGTACCTCCACCAACAATAATAAAATCAGCTACAATTTCTTGCATTTTGGATTGTGTTATTGATCTTTTGTGTAGGTCTAAATAATATAATACTAATAGAAATTAACAAATCGAATATTGTGTTAAAAGCTGTTAGCGCAATCCCTATGGGATTAAAATGTGAAACAAGATCAACCTGCTTACTTACATTGTAAATGAGAAAATGCTATGTTATCTGTCGCGGTCTGTGATGGAGAGGAAGTGTTGCTAAGAGTGTCTGTAATGGTGGGGCGGGGGGGGGGGGGGGGGTCGTTGCTAAGGATGTCTGTCACGTCTGTGGGGAGAGGGGAGAGGGAAGTAGTGGATCCAAATTTCTACCCTTAAACTTCAACACTTCCTTTCAGTTCGTGTTTCACAAAATGAATATTTTCTATTGTAACTGACACAATTAGTTTTTCATTTAATATATTCAAGATTTTATTAGAAAAATATAGTCGGTGGTTAACTTTGCTTAGTCGTTGTTCTTGAATAAGATAAAAGCGAGCTTGAAAATTAAGTACCAATTTCTTGCTCAATTTCTCTCTATTTTGCTTTTTAGAGTTAAATAATCTATAATCATGCAATAGAACAATAATGATGATTTCCAATCCACTTGAAGTACGCAAAATTTGACTCATGTTGTTTTTTATTCTGATATATTATTCTTTACTAGAGTAAAATGAATTTTTTTATGGGATTTTGTATAGATTATTAAATATAGTAGCTTACTAAAAATATTATCGTTATCCTTGCTTGAACATTCTAAAAAACAAAAAATATTCATAATGTAGTGGCAGCATGAAAATAATCTCTTATACTTGTCAAATTTTTCCGTATTGAAGAAGAAACTGTGATAGCACTCAAAACTATAATTAATGCAACAATGGCACCAGTGATAATTAACCAAATTTTGATGCTTTTCGATGGTAACACATTGTGACTATCATCAATTAACTTGTCATTGACTGTGGTTATTGGAACGGCGATATTATCTGAGAATTCTGTATGCATTTTTAGCTTCTCTAAAAATACAGTATTTGTGAAAAATGTTAAATTTCAGTCAAAATTCGACAAGCGCAGATTGTGTCGTGTACATCAATGGTGAAGTAGAAGTTCTATGTCATTTTGTATAATAAATATTTCTATACTTATAGATGCAGTCTTGAAACTGTCGCCCTTGCTCATTTAATAAGAAAATTACAGGCCCGAAAGCGTTTGTCACATTTAAAAGCAAATAACCTATTAATATTTAACACATTAAAAAGAAAATAGTATAATAAGTGTGACAATATAGCTAATTTCATGCATTAGCTCTGCTTTCAAAGAGAAAAAAAATCTTACCTCGTCTACAAGTAATATTGCTAATGAATTAGAACCTTATACAAAGCTTCCCGTATTCGGTAACAATAATTATAAAATGTAGATACAACATTAACAAAACTGAAAAAAAAGCTCTAAATCATCAGTACCGTCATCAGCAACAATAAAATCTGGTTTCTTGTCAGGGTGTGGGTGTGGGTGGGCATGCTGGTATGGATGAGCGTATGGCTGTGGGTGTCTCTTTCTGACGGCATTCACCAACATCCACACCGACACCTACACCCACACCCACCCCACACCTACACACACCCACACCCACACCCACACCCACACCCACATCCACCCACACCTCAGGACTACAAGAATATGTGTTTTTTCAAAAATCGAGTTTTTCAAGAAAAATCGACTTTCGGAGTGGGCATTCCCCCTTAATTAGTCACTACCAACTGTGATTCAAATATTTTTTTTTTCATGTGTGTCTCACAGATTTTGTTACATTTTGATGGAAATACTCCTGCCATTGCTTCTAGTCATAACGACCATTCTCGGTTTTTCTTCCTTAGAAACATACTAAATGTGAAAACTGCAAGAGCTCTTCAAACACAGGAAGTCTGATAGTTTTTTTTGTTTTTTTTTCGATATATAACTATATATGCCAGAACATTTACTAGCTAGTGATATAATCATATCTGTAGTTTCTTCAAATGATATTTTAAAATCGTAATGGTATTATAATCTCTTGTTAAGTGTCTTGTAAACTGCAAACGTTCTCATACGTCAGATCGTACCAATATATCCGTGTTTGAAAGGATCATGATGAGTGTCTTCGATTCATTCATATCTAATGTAAATCAAACAAACAAAAAATCAATTTCTTTTTACTCATTTACATATGGATCCGATTGAACTGACAAAATATCTTTTGTGTGATAAAATGTAAACAACATCTGAGAGTTAATTCATTGATTCTAAAAATTTAATCGCTACTCAGTATTTTCGAATGTAATATTCACTATCCACACTAACCAATCAAACTGTTGACGATACCAGATATGCACTAAGTAGGGCAAAAATTTTGCGACATTTTTTGTTTCGCACGTATTATATGGAACCCAAATAACCCATGAAAAAATGATTCAGTGGAGGAAGAAGCCGAATAGTATGAAGAGAGTCATTTTCGTTGCAGCAACATAGACAGGCCATAGTTTTTAGATAAATATAGATCGTGATCAAACACTTACAAATAATTTTGAAAGAGCATTTGATGTATACTCAAATTACAATCAGAAAGTCTATTACGTGCCTGTTTGTAACTTGGAAAGCTCGTTGAAAAAATTTTAAAAAAGCGTGTGAGAAGTAAACGCAGTTCACATGATTACACTAAATCAATAGAGGTTTCTAGAGAATTCGACAGCGCATCTTTTTAATAAAAAATCAACGTTTCATCATGTTTCTGAACAGAAATACATGCAAAACAAAAAATGTCGCAAAACATTTGCCCCGACCGGTATTAACCCTTAATTGATAACCGATTTGTTTCAAATTCAAATCACATGTTCTTTCAACATATTTATTAAACGAACGTCATCTTCGTATTATTTTTAATCTGGAAATTATGTATATACCGAGTGTAATGAGAATTTTTGCAACAGTTAAACAGTCATTCTACGATTTATTTTTTTTCTATTTGCGAAAAATATAGATGAGTCATACATGTGAATCTCACTCATCAAATTGACAAAGACGTTTCTTTATAAGATAAAATCATAGTCAATTAGACATTTGAGATATTCAATAGTTACATTTATCTCGTTAGTTTATTTTCAGATATCAAATATTATATAGTGCCATTTTATATACCTATTTTACATTCGTTTGAAAAGAACAATATTTCACACTCTCAAAACTAAAAAAAGCGATACAATCAAACATGGACAAAGAGTTTATTAGTATTCTTTCGTAGCACTTATTAGACGCATGGTTTATTATGATTATTCTAATTGCCAGTTTCTTCAACAACAGGCTTGAGATTTTTTGATTTCATCTTTTTATTTGTTGCCTTTAAACGTTCGACACGCACGACAGAGGATGATGTTGAAGATTTTCTAGCAGCCTCTGCATTTATTGGTTTGGATATTGAGTTGATTCGCGACATTTCAATTGTTTCCATTTCTGAAGAACGATGTTCACTTATTTTCATATCTCGACGAACTGATTGTAGAGATGATTTCTCTTTGTCAACTGTAGAGACATTTGACAATGGTTTAATGCCATCATGATTGTCTAAATGAATAGTAGTCCCAATGATAGATGGAGATGGATTGTTTATTGAAGATTGGTAATTTAGTGTTGATGGTTTTGAATGTAGACGCGTTACACGAATACCACTACCCTCAATTCGACTGTTATGGAGTCTTGAATACATCTTTTCAATTGCTTTTTGCATTAATGGTGTTTTTAATTCACCATCAAAACTGTTAATTCTCTGTTTTGCTGCTAATTGAATTCGAGATACTTTTACATTTTCATCATTACCCAATTTAACAACATTTAAATTTTTTGTTACTTCATCTGAACTACGATTTGGTGATTTAATACCTGGATTTGCTATACTATGCCTTGAATCTTCCATTTTAACTCTTGAAATCGATACATCATATAATGACTTTCGTCGAACACGATTGTCGATCATTGACAAGAGACTATTATTTTGAAAATTAGTCATACTAAAATCATTATTGTCTGGTACCAATGGTGATCCTTTATTACTGTTCGTACTGTTCGTACTGTTTATACTCTCATCCAAAATATTGTATACAAGATAACTTCTGCGTGGATAAGAGAGAATGTTTGGTGAAATAGACTTATTTTGCCAGTGACAATCTGAGTTTATGCATCGTTCAATATGGTAGAGTTCACAATTTTCTTTGCCTTTGTGGGTGTACATACGGCCACCAAGTGGACTAAATAAAGCAAACAATAACATGACACAATAACAAATATATAAAACAAACCAGCAATAACGACAACAAACACAAATGCATATAAGTAGAGCACTGAGAAGAGCTAAAGCAGAAATGCTTCCAATTAATGGCCAACTGATAGGCTCAGCTACAATTAATTTTTCTCATTATAATAAAGAAGAAAAAAAAGTTTGACAAACGTGTTTTGGTTATCGTTGTTGTAGTTGTAGATGTTGTTGAAGTAGATGTCGTTGAAGTAGATGTTGTCCTATGCATTTAAATAATTTTTTTTTTGATTGAAACACGTCTGAATCATGCTTGATGTGCATCGGAAACGTAAAGAATGAATACGTTCACACGCAAATCAAATGAAAATTTTTTTATATCTAAACTCGATTTATTTCAAAAACATATCTAAAGGCTTTAGTAATTTGTAGCGCGTCTAGAAATGATTTTGTATCAAATTGTGTCTTCAGTGCAATAGTTTGTAAAATTAGAATATCATACATTCAATGCATTTTTTTTTGTATTTTTGTTTTTCTGATTAAGTCAGTAGTTTTAAGCTTAAAAGAATATCTCTTTATATTTTGTTGATTATGATGAATATCAGAAAATATTCTTTTTTTTAATTTTCGGATGCAGCAATTACAACGTGTTGAATGATTTTGTATAAAACTGTGATGATTAGAAAAAATGAATTATATTACGTATATGAACTAGATGTGTTAATTTGTCTTCATTGTTATTTATAATAAAGAAAATATTTCTATTTATGAAATAAAGATTTCTTTTATGAGAAGTAAATAGACTAATGCCAAATATAACAATAACATATGTTCATTAAAGAAAATTTATTGTATTAAGTACTTTTTTCTATCTGAAAAAGTATCATTATTAAATGTATAATGTTAACAATAAAAGGGACACAGACTCTACGCAAGGATCTCAGGATTGTGGAAGGGTTCGAACGCAGGAAAGATTAGGAGAAAGAAAATTCGCATCAGATCTAATATTAATCTTTCCCTTGCAATCTAAAATGTTCTTTTCTTTATTTTATTTTAAAAGGAAATAAAATTGTGATAATTCCTAGCAATTTCCCTGTCGAAGGCAACAACGGTACTAACAACTACTAGAAAATGAAATACTTGAGAAGGAAGAAAGCAATAAAATTGTCATAAAAACAGAAAAGTCATAGAAATTTTTGAGACCGAGTATGCTAATGTAGCTACTTTTAATGAAGAACAAAAATTTTAACATCTCTTCATAATTTTCTAGCAAAAACCATCTTTTGAATCTGAATTTTGATTAATAAAACTAATTGATTTCTTCAATTTCCTACACAATTTCCCTCCCAAGTTGGGACACCACCCTGGGAAATGTTTGCGAACTATCTTAAAGAGATACTTCAAAAATTCAAAACAATTTTATCGATTTTACTGGCTACCAATGTAAAATTTTTAATTATTGGATTTTGATTTAGTATCCATTTATAATACTATTAAAGACTTTAATGTCTAGATCAATTCCTCTTCATTAACTGTAATAGAAAAGCATTTTATAATGAACATTACCTTTACTAAAAGCTGATTAGTCTCTTAGAAACGATATTCCCTCTTTAATTTTATTTATTATTTTCATCCACTAGTCATTAGTTCAAACGAAATTTTAGATAAATACAAGAAATAGTATGTTGACATCATGAAACCTTAATCTTTTATTTCCTTCGATTTACTTTACAAAAGATTAAAGTATTATAGATACAAAAAAAAATACAGACAATCTTTTTTTCCATATATCTCGCTCGTCATATTCCATTTTCAATTTTGAAATGGAATCATATATAGAGATTTTATTGGCGACAAGGAAGAACGTTAATTACATAACTTGTTGCTATATGAACTATTTGTCTATTTACGTATCACGGAAAAAAAAACTTTCTTTATTGTTCAATTTATTTATACTTTATTTTACAGTAAATCATTTATTTAACTTTATTATTTAAATAATAAAGATTTCCTTTATCTTCATTTTATAAAATAAAGATAAATTAACATCCTAATAGGAATTGGATGCACATTTATAAATAATCTAATTCAAAAATTTAATAGGAATCCATTGGTCAATAAAAAACGTTTTGAATGACAAATTTTTTTCTACCATTTATACAAATTTTACCGAATCTTATATTCTGCCATCGCTATACATCCATGTATTTAAAAGGTCTTCATTTTTATATAGTTGGATACGTTTTAAAATTTCGAAAATTCAAAAAATTTTCAACACTGTTTCAGCTAATGGAACACACCAGAACAAACTATCCTAATGCTGACGAGAGTGTAGTACACTAAAATACATGCATGTGAAACTGACGAAATTTGTTTCGAACATATCTGAACATGATAATCTCGGAGAATTAACTAAATATGTTATAAAATCATGTTTAGCCACATTTTTTATGTTGAAATGCGTCTATAGAGCGTTTAGAAAAAGTTGTTAACTGTGTTTAGACGCGGTATTAATATGAAACGCGTCTGAATGCGTCTCATAACAAGGTCCCGTTTGAACATGCCTATTTGTATTTGACGTTTACATGGTAATCAACAATACATCTCTATCCTTATTCTTGAAATAAAGAAAACGAAGTTTTACGAACGATGTGCTGGTTGTTGAAGTGGTGCTGGTCGTAGTGGTTGTCGTGGTCGTTGTTGTTGACCTGAACTTGGCCATATCAATCACTTTCCGTATATAAAATCTTAAATCTACTTACGTAGTAGTTGTTGTAGTAGTTGTGGTTGTTGAACTTTAAAAATATTCCAATATTTAAATATTTGCAATATTAAAAAGAAATGGATGAATTATGAGAGAACTTTCCTAACTGATAATCTCCGTTTGAGCTAATACTTTGTTCATAAGAAAGACTCATAATGGAAATAAAAATTCTATAAGAGTTCATGACACTAAACTTTTCGTCTCGATTTGTACTCATTTTACTAAATTTTCATCCTCAAGCAGAATATTACGAAAAAAAAGTCATAATAAGGAATTTTCGCTTCAAATTTCACCCAACAATATATCTCATGGTATTTATGATATCTTGAAAGTTTCAGCTCAAATGGACGTTTCTCCTTTAAGATAACATTTTTACAAAAATCATCACTTTCTTAGAAAGTCTCGAAAAATATTTCATTTCTTAGGCATCCCACCCATATCTCAAAAAGAAAACATCCTTATCAACTGAAACTTTCAGAATATCATAAGGATCATGAGATTTGTTGTTGGGTAAACTTTCAGATGAAAATTTCTTGTTGTGATTTTTATTGTAAAATTCTATAATAACCTGAAAAGTCGGTAAAATGAGTACAAGTCGAGAAGAAAACCCTAGTAGTACAAATCCTTTTAGAGTTTTTTATCTATACTATGAGTACAAACAGAGATTATTAGTTAGAGGAGTTTCCTCGTTAGATTACTTACGTTGTAGAAGTCGATGATGTCGTCGTCGATGTAGTACTGAAAAATAATTTGATAACATGCAATAAATTTTGTCGTTTTGTGGTTATATCTTTCATTACCTAGTGGTACTTGTTGTTGTTCTATAATATATGAAAAAATCAATTTCAAATGTGTATTAAAATGAATGAGAATACGAACGTGGTTGTAGTTGCAGTAGTCGATGTTGATGTAGTTGCAGTAGTCGATGTTGATGTAGTTGTAGTAGTTGATGTTGATGTAGTTGTTGTTGATGTAGTTGTAGTAGTCGATGTTGATGTAGTTTTAGTAGTCGATGTTGATGTAGTTTTAGTAGTCGATGTTGATGTCGTTGAAGTTCTAAGATCAAAAATTTACATAAGTATAAGAAGTGAATTCATTTTTGTTTATACGAACGTTGAGGTTGTTGTAATGCATACTTCTCCTGGACAAGAGCAAACATAAGTCGTGGACACATAGAATTTGAAACAATATTGATCAGATTGTGAGTTTTGACTAGTTTTAAAAATTATTCTTTTATCTTTTTCGTCTTTTATTAATTTTATTATACCTGTCAAAAGCCATTGCACACATGACTTGATAGCCAATTTGAGCAGCGGTCGGTGTCCATGTAAGATTATTGTAGTAATAAGATGAGTTAACTTTAATGATGCTATCTTGAGCCATACCAGGAAAGGAGAGCGTGGCAATATCAACAATAGTAACACTTGAACCACAATAATTCACAGCAATTAACATTGATTGGAATTTTTGACCTACTATGAGAGTAGTGCAGGATTGTTCAAGAGGTAGCCCAATAACTTTGGGTGGAGTGCTACATGATGTTGGGCCTACTACTTCGACAAGAAATTGAACTGGTACCGAACTGAGTGAAGTGGTGCTTGTTGAATTAATGAAATCTTCGACCTATTTATATGATAGACTAGTCTATGCAAAATAGCAAGCAACTAACAAACCATGAGAGTTACTGCATACCAGCTGCCAACAACTGTTCCAGTAATCACAATTGTACAGTTAGGATAGATGACAGTATTTGCTGGAAGAGAGCCTGGTGGACAAACACCTCCACATTCATCTACTCCATTCGATGCAGTCGACCAGCGACAACGCATAGGATCTCCATCAGCATCAGCCACAGGCACATGGATAACTGTTGGTTGATTGACAGGAATGTAGATAGGAGACATCATAGTTGCTACAGGTGCATTATTGTATAAACCATTATCAGATCTTGACTTGATAATGAAGTGTGTTGAGATCGACCAGGTAGCCTCTGCAGCTGTTGCCAGAGCACGCCAGGCCTTATTCTGAAATGCAACTGAGAAATCATCACCTGAATACAAATAGACTATATCTGAGCGTTGGCTAACAGTAGTTCCAACAGGTGCTGAAATGTCTGTACAATAAGGTCTAATACTGGGAGCTACATAACCACTCGCACCAGAAGCACAATTACTTATGCAATCGAGTGTTTGAGTTGGAATGTACGAATAACCTCCATCAGGAATCAACTGACTAGAAGCGATCATGGCATTTGTGCATGTTATCTTTGAATAAGTCCATGAGTAAGTTTGTGTGATAACAATAGCGACAGGTGATCCAGTGGCTGATGCATTGAGTGGATGCCAAGTGATAGTACCACCAAGGAAATGAACTCCTTGAACAATGACTATTAAGTAAAAAAGCAATGTAACGAGTAAGGTGAACATCGTTGTTAGGCAAACGATGTGGTGTGAATGGAAGTAACAAAATTATACAATGAATAAAAAGTAGCAGTTGCTTGTTAATCTAGTCCATGTTTGTTTTTCTTCTTGATAATCACTTGTACGATTTGAAAACAATCAAAAATAACTGATTGATTTTTTATGCAATATAATATATGCAGGTTTGTTACACACACTTTTGTGCACGTTCTGTTGAATCGGAATGTTTGCATTTTCTCCGATGAGACGCATTTTTAATTTCTCATTGAAAATTATGACATAGAGTGGGTAGATGCATACTGCTGACAAAATTTTTCAAGTTATAAAAATTATTTCTACTAATCGAATTTTTTGAATCAAGCATCTCTTTATTTTTTTTTATACGAAAGCTTCTCATCAGTTGAAATAATAAATTCACAGTGTCTTGCTATTACAAAAAAATATATTGTTGCTAGTGAGTCAGAAATGCTCTTAGTGCTCGAGTACTTTTGTGTACCAAAACGGCAGAGTTGTAGGCGTGCGGCCGAAGTAGGGTGTGGGTGTGGAAAACAACATCACATCCGACACCGACACCCATACCCATTCAGATGTTTTATCATCCGATTGTGCAATATCGATTTTATGATTCGCTTAAAAGAGATTTAAAAAATATTTCAAAATGATGCTTCAATTAACTGTTGTCCAACAAGGATTCAGTTATGTTAAAGAGTCAAATGATGAAAAATTTCACAAAAGGCGAATAAAGCAGAAAAAGACTGAGTTTTTTTTATCATGTCGAAATTTTATTGATGTCATTCGATCAACAAAATAACAATGCAACCATGAGAAATAAATCTAATGAAGTAAAAAAAAGAGCAACATTCAAAGATTGTTCAACAAACTACCAATGCCATTAAAACAGGAACAGATTAACTGTTATTTTCAAATAAAAATAAAACTTGGCTCTCATTTTTTTATATGAATATTCATTTATTTTTTTTAGTAATAATCATACATCGTATAGTATATTCATTCTTGTTGTGAAAGAACGAGCAATAGGCAAGTTTTTATTTCGCTGGTGTCTTTTTCTTTCATGCATTACAGGAACGAGCACGTACAGAATAAAAACAAATATTTGTTGGTTTTTGTTCGTATTCTTCGTATTATTCATTCTAGTTTCTAGATCAAATCTCATCATATTTATTAATCAAAATATTACGACAAAATGAACAACAATCGGGTACATTTTGAGGTTGTCGCAAAAGTTTTGCATGTATCTCAGTTTAGATGAATGATAAAATCTCGAATTGATTTTTCAAAGATGCGCAATTCAGTTTTCTATAAACCTATATTTACTTTAATTTAAAATCATGGAATTGAACGTTTTTATAGGTCACATAGTATGATTGTATAAATTGCATCTACTTTCCACAGATGGTTTTAAGACGTTATTGTTTCTGTATGAACGAATATATCATTTTAAAATCTTGAAAGCTTCGATCGATTTTACATGTATTTAACATACATTCTCTCGGTTTGATAGAATTTTCAGAAAAGGAATATTTTGAAAATGGCGAAATTTTTTCTTACAATTACTACTTTTTGGAAAAAGAATCGTAGAAATGTTGTGTATGACCAAACTGAGTTCATTTTACCCGTATTTTGTAGACAACTAATTTTTCTTTCTACTTCGAGCTCAAAAGACAACACGCGGTAAAACAATTCAGTTGGAAGAAGAATCTGGACATTACCAAGACTGTTGTTTTTGCATTAGCGTCTCAGATAGACCATTTTTATCAGGCACAAATAATTTAAAACAAACGCACACAAATAATTTTGAAAGAGCATTGATATGCGATCGTGGGTGTGGGTGTTAGTATGATTTTCTTCATATACACCCACACCCACACCCACACAGACAAGGATAATTGTAAAACAAGATGTGTCTTTTATTTTAGCCAGGAGGATATATAGAACATACTAAAACTCACATCAGGAACGTATGAGCCAAAAAACCATAGAGTGTTGCTTGCAGCCGTTTGAAAATATGTATAAAGTGAGAGTAATTTTGGACCAAGTTAGAAATTAGCTGAAATAGTAGAGTAACTGTGCTTTTATGACTATTGAAATCTATATTTATACCACAGCAAGGGGAAGAGTGAGTCCATTAGGATGTAACCGAATTATATCGAAAGTGTATAGAATAATTGAACTTTGTATTCTCTTCTTCTCTGTTTTGTTTCTCTGTGGCTATTTAGTCGCCAACTCGTAGAAAATTCAAAAACGGTTTTTGTTATATCGCCTGGACATTCATGTATTTTTCAACTGTTCTCTGCTAATTAGTATGAAACTAAAATAAAATACTTTTACATTGTATTTATGCACTCATTACTCTATCTCAAATTTTCAACAAACATTACGTGACATCATCCGAAAAAAAGAATGATCAAGAATACGAACATACACATATTAATACTAAAATAAGTGGGAAGAAAAAAAGAAAGAATGGATATTTTCAAAAGTGTTTGTTTTTTTCTTTTATTCTTTCTGCACATTTTAGTATTAGTACGTGTAGTTTCTATTGTTTTTTATCATTCATTCTTCTAATGATACCACATAATACTCCTCAATACCCTGAGATAGAGTAATAAATACATAAATGAAATCTAAAAATATATTCCGTTCTGGTTTCATAATATTTTTTGCATTATTTTCACCTGTTCTGTCGACAAATTTTATGTTCCCTTCTCATTTTCTTGTTACTGATTTTGATCATAAATTTTCTTCTTTTTCATAGTCTTGATTTTCATAATATTCAGAACTTTTTCCTAATCATCCATCAATGTTGCTGCTAAACTAACAATAGATATAAATTATATAATAGACTACGAACAAAGCCTAAGACGAAAAAAAGTAGTACAAAGAATGGAAAGTACAACAAAAACATAAAATATTCCGGATCATTTCTCAAAGAACACACGGAGTCTGCCTATTTTAAAATACACATGTACAATGACACAAGGAAATAAACAAACTGTGATATACTGCATGGATATGACACAGAAGTACTGAGTTAGCGTTGCACTACTTCGATTTATATGAAGCACAACACCATCCAATAAAACTTGTTTCTATGATTTGTTCAATTATACATCGAGAAGCGCTCAACAGTGATCAATTCAATGATCCGTCGAATTTAGCACGGATCATCAGTTTTCATATTGTCTTTTTGATTATAAAACTTCAAACTATTCAAATAAATACGTTCTCGATATATTCACGAAATAATTCAATAGTACAATGTTAGATGAGTAAAATAATGCTATATTGGAACGTTTGTGACGAAAACTTTTATAACCTCTGGATGAAATTTTTCAATGGGAAATATACCAAAAGATGCGCCGTGAGCAGGGCTACAACATATCAAAAATTCAGCCTGGGATCTCTTACTTCGATAGAACATTCGTCCATGACACTGAAATTTGATGGCTGGAATTGTACACTTATTTTTTTCAAACTTGATTCCTTTCTAATAAAAAATTGCATTCAGAAAATAATAGAAATAGGCTATTTTGTAGAGAATTCCATTCTCTATCATTTGAGATGTTTCGCACCTGAAACCATCAAACGATGAAGAACAAAATCGCAAAATACGACCAGGATTGAAAAAATCGATTTTTAGGATATGATCCGAGAAATCGAAAAAATGGGGTCCCTGGTATTTTCTTATAGATAAGTCAAAATAAGTTGATATTTTGGTTTCATAAGTAACTTTTTATGGGCTTTCGAATGAGATGATCACAATCGAAGTCTAAAATTTTTCCGCCGCCACCTCTTCCTTATATTGGTCGGCTTTCTGACGGACTCTCTCTCAAATCACTTGTTATTCCTGCATTTTCAGTATTGAAATAGAATGTGGGTGGGGTGTGGGTGTTCATATTATTCTCTTTGTGATACTCACAGCCACACCCATACCACACTTACATCCACACACCCTCGATGCTGCCACCGAGAACAATTCTAGAAGAGAACTAATATTGATACTGAGGCCGGAGACGCACTCGGATCTCGATCTTTGATGCGATACATGATCATGGACACGAAAACGCTTCTAGAAGTAATTTAAAAAATAAATATCTTCTCGCATATGTGGAAGGAACATCTGAGGCTTGATTCGACCAGGATCATGGTATTGAGCGGTATACTATTGCTTGTGATATGCTAATATTTTATTGATACTGTACAACGATGGCAAAAAACCAAGTAAAGTAGTGTTATAGTGCATAGTTTTTCTGCCTTCGATTCACGTTATTTTGCATGCTTCAAGCTATTCGAACGATGAGTAATAGAACGAGCAAAACGATGATAATATTTGTATGGGTAAAAAACCATGTAACTCATTAAAATATCTTAATTAATGATAGAACAAGCAAAACGAGAATAATATTTTCATGGGAAAAAAATCAGGTATCTCATCAATATATCATCATAAATGATTGAACAAGCAAAAAGATGACAGTACTTGTATGAAGTAAACAAGGTATCTCAATTATATTTGATGATTAGTTATTTCACGGACACGAATGAAGCAACACTAGCCAAATTTATATTAGTGATGTATATATAAGCAATGTCTTATTTTTACCTATAGTATAGAACAACGTCGACATATTAGTGTTATTCTGGTCGTCAGCACACAAGACTTCGTATAATACAGAGAGCAAACGTAAGTGTTTTGACATTGCATTTTCTTCAGAGAGCGTTTTTTATCATCAGTATTTATTGAATTTTTCTACTCTTAAATAGTATCACTAAGCTTATATTAAATATTTTTTTGGTATCATAGTAATTATTTTTCTGCCGGCAAAGATGTTCCAAAATTCTGTATGAAATGCATAACAAATATTAACTATTGTAAAGCCATTCTTGTCACAAAACGTCTGTAGCAGGAGGTGTTAATCAACTTTGTAAGGTCTCATGTAGAAAAAAGACCGTTCAACATTATGTTCTTTTACTACTCAAAGAGGTTTAACTTCGCTGAAAATTAGATATGATACCGTACAGATAAAAAGTGCTTCAGGAAATTTTTGTAGAGGGATTTCTCTTCAACTGGATTTTAGCGAAGAATTTGCTTAAGATATTGTCTTTAGACCAAATAGTTCTAATTAGATAATAGCTGTTTGTATGATATCAACAAAATTTGAGTCGGTAGCTTTTGAAAAAACCGTGTTTCTCCTAAGATGACTTTGTGGCCAGAATTATCCAGAAAATTCTCAAGTCATAATAACGAAGCGGGATAATGGAATCATTTGATACTTGTGTTATTCAATGCTCCATGATGAAGATAAAAATGATAAAAGATTCTTCAGTAACAGATAATGGGCACATAGTTCTGGAAAAAGGATGATTTCATTGAAATACCTCTAGCTCTAAAACTTTGATGTGTATTTTTCGGTCATGGTGAACAATAATAAGTGTAAAAACCGTTCAAGATTCTTTTGGATTTTAAGCCCCAAAAAAATCCGAACAAATCCAAAAAACCAGAGAAAATCTGAAAAAATCCCAAAAATCCCAAAAAATCTGAAAAAACCAAAAAAAAATCCAAAATCTAAAGAGGTCTTCAACAATATACTCTGATCATATTTTCAAGTGCGTTGAACATAGATAACCAGTTTTAAAGGGTGGAATGTCGGTGTGGGGTGTGAGTGTTGGTGTGGGGTGTGGGTGTGGGGTGTGGGGTGTGGGGTGTGGGTGTGGGGTGTGGGTATGGATGTAGGTGTGGGTGTGGATATGGGTGTGGGTGTGAGGTGTGGATGTGGGTGTGTGTACGAAGTAAGAGAAGATCCACACCCACACTCACACCCTCACACACACCCACACCCATACCCCACACCCCACACCCACACCCGACACCCCACATCCCACATCCCACACCCACACCCACACCCTCCCTTTTTTTTCTTCTTCGTCCTTTCTTCTGTCTCTATATTTACTTTCTTAACCCCTATGCCAACTGAGTTAATACTCGATACAAAGGTATCGATGATGATGACAAAATTCATTGTATTTATGTTATTGCTCAATGCTTAAATACCTAATTTTTCCTTATATCATCATGTAAGTACTTCCGAGTGTTACATCTAAAGCATAATTAAAAAAATGGTAAGTGTTACTTAGGGCATACCAAAAGTAGTGGCGCCCGCATCTCAATTTCTTATAGAAGGCTTGAGTAAATTTTCTTTTTTTATGAGGTGATAGAGGAAACGAAGTTCTATTTTTCTGCGCTATTTCATCTCTATTTAACTGGTATCACATTAATAGAATTTCGATAAGAACTGTTGTTGCGTAAAACTTCACTGACGCGTGAGGCAGATTAAATATTTGAATCGCTTAATACGTTGTATTAAAAAACAAATGATACCAAATGATGCAGCGTGAAAAGCTCTACAATTTACACAATGAAGCTTGTTTTAATTATGTCGCCTTGTCAAAAGAAAACAAAACTTTGTGTAACCAATCTTCGTTGCCCGAAAATAATCATGGAAAGAGAAATTTCTTTTTACTTATTTCAAATACAAAATAAGCTGTTCTTTATAAATTGTAGAGCTTTTCACGCTGCATCTTTTGGTATCTTTTGTTTTTAAGTATAACGTATTAAATAATTAGAAATTGGAATAGAAAGTGTACTAATGGACTAGTGAAGTTTTACGCAAAAACAGTTCTTATCGAAATTCTATTAATATGATACCAGTTAAATAGAGATGAAATAGCACAGAAAAATAGAACTTCGTTTTCTCTATCACCTCATAAAAAAAGAAAATTTACTCAAGCCTTCTATAAGAAATTGAGATGTGGGGGCCACTACTTTTGGTATGCCCTAAGTAAATCAGAATGATGCGCACCATGTAAGTACTCATGAGCTATGAATGCCCTGAAAAGAGTTCGGGTTAGTCGCCTCCTACTGCCAAGATATTTTTTTCTTCTACCACACAGGAACACCAGAAAAACTAAGTTTTGAATTTCTACTTGAAACTTAACACAGAGACAGGTCTTAATGAGAATAGTTTATTGTAAAAAGTTCAAGTCTGTTGATTACTTCTATCCTAAGATATGGCTATTAAAAAAAGTATGTTTTTCACACCGCTCATCTACAACAACAAATTCCGATATGCTTATTTCAGAATAAGTGTAATAAAAAAATCTGAAACTTTTACAATAAATTATTCTCATTAAGGGCTGTCTCTATGTAAAGTATCGAATAGAAATTCGAAACTCAGTTTTTTTTTATATTCCTATACGATAAAAATAGCGTATCTCGGCAATGGTAAGTTAGGAACCTGAACTCTTTTGCAGAGTATTCATAGTTCATTAGAACCTACATGATACACATTATCTCGACTCAAAAATGATTTGACACTTAATAAACGTTCTCTCCTAAGTACATTATTCAGCTTTGTATGGATAAAACTGATGTTTGTGATTTAACAGAAATGTTCGAATATTTTCGAATTTCTAATAGCAATCCTACGAAAAATGATACTAATATTTTTAAAGTATTGATAAATTCAAAAACAAAAGAAAAACTTAATAATATCATACATTAACTACTATCCGTTTCAAAATATAGTGCGCGCCACTGTTTTTTAAATAACTTAAGAGCGGAATGAGCTAGAGACCTGCGATTTTCACCAATCGATAGATGATACAGGGGGACGTCTTTCTCTTAAACAATGTATCAGGCGAAATCCTTTTAAAACTACTCATCTTTGAAAGACGTGGAAAAGAATGCGTGAAAATGACCTGCCATTCAGATGAAATTTTTAGTTTGACCTTTGATTTAGATAGAGGAACTTGAGATCTACAGTTCAAGATACAATGCAAATACTTTTCTTATTGCATTCTAACGTTGACCAAATGGAACCATGTATTTACATGCGCAAATAATAGGAAATTTTACTGATTTTTTACTATGTTTTTGCATTTTTATCATAACAGCTGGACATTTCGATGAAAACGTAAGGAAAAGTAAGAAAGTGCATTGTATCTTAAACTATAGATATCAAGTTCCTCTATCTAAATCAAAGGTCAAAATCAAAATTTCATCTGAATGGCAGGTCATTTTCTTGCATTCTTTCCCATGTTTTTCAAAGATAAGTAGTTTTAAAAGGATTTCGTCTGACACATTATCTGAGATAAAGACGTCCCTCTGTCTCATCTATCGATTGGTGAAAACCGCAGGTCACTAGCTCGTTGCGTTCTTAAGTTATTTAAAAAACAGTGGCGCGCACTATATTTTGAAACGGACAGTACTTCTTTTTTTGTCTTCTAGAAAGAATAGAAAAAATTTCATCTATCTTTTCATTATCCTGTTAAAAAAAATTATTTAAAAATGAAAAATTCTCAACGATTATTATCGTTCAATATATTTATTTACTTTCTATTATGTATTATTCTTTTACCAAAATATATTCAATGTTATATGACAACAATAATAACTCATGAATATTATTCACCAGAGTCAAATTTTACAAATAAAACTTACGAAACACAAACAAATGGTTTTGTATCAACTAAAGGTAGTCAAACAATAGTTCGTAATGGTAAAGCATTTATTTTAACTGATATAAATGGTAATTTTGATGGATGTGAACAACCAATTAATCCAATGAATATTGCAAATGGTATTGCTATTATTCAACGTGGTGGAAATTGTACATTTAGTGTTAAAATAACACGTGCTAAACAATATGGAGCATCAGGTATTCTTTTAAAACGAAAAAAAAAGAATAACATAAAGAAATTTCCTTTTGTGTTTTTTTTTCAGCTGTTATTATTTATGACCCATTCCATTCTGGTTTAGAACTATATAATATGCTACACAATAATTCTGATATATTATCTGTTTATGTTCAACGCCCAATTGGTTCTAGATTATTTAATCTAGCTAAAGATATTCGTACACAATTAAATATAACATTACACCCAATAAATACTGATTTTGATAATTCCCTCGACTGAAGGGAGGGTCATATGAAAAAAATGCGTCTGCTGATTTGTGTCAGGGTCAAAGGTCAAAAAAATATCGCCTTAAAAATTCAATGGTAGACGTTTTTCTCAATCTTGAAAGGATGGAGTTTTCACAATGGAAATTCGTATGCTCGTCCGGTTTCTGATTGGACGAAAAATGAGCCAATGAGATTTCAGGAGGACTTTTCTTTCCTATTATCATGAGAAATGCTAGTCATTTTCGGGTCGACTCTAGGGTTATCAGGGGCGCTCTATCGAATGAGGGGTATATGTGGGGGGCTCCGCCTTACATATTCCAGAGAAATAGAATTTCGCAATCTAATTGGTTGAAAAATGGATCAACCATATTTCAGGAGGCCTTTTCTTTCTTATTATTAGGACAAGTGCTAGTCATGTTCAGGTCGATCCTAGGGTTATCGGGGTGTGGGTGTGGGGTGGGGTGGCTGAGGGTGTGGGTTTCGGGTGGGGTAGCTGAGGGTGTGGGTGTGAGTGTGGGGTGTGGGTGTGGGCGTGGGTGGGTGTGGCTGTGGGTGGGTGAGGGTGTGGTGTGTGGGTGTGGAAGGGTGTGGATATTCTGTTTAACAACCCCCCCCCCCCCACACACACACACCCACACTCACGCCCAGCCATACCCACACCCTCCATTGTCACCATAAAAAAGTCGAAAAGTTATATCGTTATTATTTAAGTCAAAGTTTTTTGAGGCTATTTAGGTGAAAATAAATCGAAGAACAGGATATTAAACATAGATAACAGAAGAGTTTGTTGATAGGATAATTTCGTTGAGGCAGATGGAGCATACTCTGCTAAAGTTGTTATTGTTGATGTGCGTTCCACTGATACAGTCCAGTCAATATTTGGAAGATATTTTTTCTTGAATATTGTACTAACGAGGGAACCTTTTCAACTGTCCAATCGCTTTT